ATACGGCATATACTGTATATATGTATATATGTTTAATTTGAGTGAATATCAAATGTATGTGTACAGTGCCTGCCGGGTTGTAGGGGAACAGATGGCATCTGTTTTTTTTTTAATGAAGCTTTCAAGCCAGTTATAGCATTAAAAGAAGAATGTCTGCATAAAGGGTATCTGTGGTTTCCTCTACGCTGGTCGATTAATCCAGACAGCCTCTGTACGAAGTAGATGGAGATAAAAGAAAACATGAGTATATTCACGACGTTAAGCAGTTACTTGTTTCACATCCAAAGAATAGATATTCATTATTTAATCAAGAAGATGTTTTTTTTCCATTTTAATCCCATATAATATTTTTGTTTTATTTAATTTCTGTGAATATGACAGCCAAAACTATGTGGTGTCTGGATTCCAAAGGAAGAAAAAATTCTAAATTTTTTTGGTCCATCAGGGAATAAAGGTTGCACACAAAATAAACCGTTTACGTCTTTGCTGTTGGGGGATAATTATGAAAAAGCAAAAGATCAGTGAGACATATTTTTGTGTTGTGTACTCAACATCTTGCAAAAGCATCACGTGAATCACATCAGCTGTGAATAAAATAACAGCGGATTCCTCTTGAACGTCATCATGTTCATCGTTTCACATCTGTGGCAGAGCTGCTGAGACACAACAGTCTGCACAGCAAGCCACGACTCTGTGTGGCAGCCATGTGTTGGGCACAATGCTTGTATTATTTACGTAATCTCTTAATTCAGCAGGGAACCGACACAGCGGCCTGCTCTGGATTGTATGTTTAAGTGGCCGAGGCTCCTGTTGGTTCAGTTTGTCTGCATGCAGGAGGAATGTCACCGTGTGAATAGTAGCAGCCCTGCAGGTCAAGCTGCCACATGTGAGGGCTCTCGCATGTCAATTCAATTCATTTTATTTTGTATAGCCCAAAATCGCAAATTACAAATTTGCCTCAGAGGGCTTTACAGTCTGTACACATACAACATCCTCTGTCCCGAAACCCACCTTGTCTTGTAACACTTGCATGTTATTTCTGCGTTCGGGCCCCTGGCAGTTTGGGGTCCTGGGGCATTTTTTAGCCTCGCACATTAGAGCGGACAGCTGAGCAAAGGCCCACAGCCAGACACCCCATAAGTCAGTGAGTCAAACCGGATCATCCGTGCCCATATAATTGCACCACTTCAGCTGAACCCCACCTTAAAGAGTCACCCATTGTGTGTGTGCGTGTGTGTGTGCGTGTGTGTGTGCGCGCTTGCAGGATTCCTCCCGTTGGTGAGCCTGTGGGCGGGTGATGTCACCCGCCCTGTCCACCCCCTCCACTCACCTCCCCTCCCCTCCCAATCCATCCCTCCTCCCCTCTAATGCGTCAGACCAATCAGTGCCCGGGGAGATCCGGTCACATGAGAATCCTCCCCAGTTTCGGTTACCATGACAACGAGCACTGGTCCAGGCAGCATCTTGCTGTGGTGAGAAGAAAAGGGGGGAAGAAGGCGGGAGGAGAGGCAGAAAGAGACGAGGACAGCGAAGGAGGAATATAGAAAGAGAATTAAATCCCAGTTGGAGGAATACCTGGTGTCGGTCTTCCTTCCTCCGTACAGTGAGTACCTTTGCCTTCATTGGCCTCTTTCATGCAGCCTCCATCACAGGTGAATGAATGGAGATTTGATGCAGCATCCTCAGCTTTGTTTGATAATGTGACACGGCAGATGCCCGGGAAGTTTTCACGGATGACATCATGGGTCTTTCCTTTGTTATGTTGGGAATGTGTGCAGCCTGCCTCTCCTTAGGCAGACCGCCCTTTGTCTGCAGGCTTCAGTCTGTTGCTGTCTCTCTCATGTTCACACAAGCAGGCCCGGCGGATATCCTGCGTCCCCTGAGGTTTGTTTAATTAGCAAATCCGTGCAAATCCAACTAGGATGGCTTGTTCTGATTGATGAGTTCACATGTAGAACGTCCTTTGCGGCGGTGGAGACGCTGAGCTTTTCCCGGCTGCAAGACCTCTTTCCCACGCAAAAACGTGGGAAAGATAGGATGCAATGTAAATGTTGCAATGTGTAACTACATCAGACAGAGCTGTATTCATTAGTAGGTACATATACTTATGTATGTATACTTCTATGTATGTATATATACCGGCACATTTTTTTATTGATAATATTAGGAAATCCTCGTTTTGAGTAGCAGGACATGATGAAGCTAGTATACATTTAGAGAAGCATGCAGCAGTACGGAGCCCAACTCGCCACATGCAAGCAGAGGAAGTGAGAAGTTTAATGTTTTTTATCTTACGCATAAACCTTGTTAGTCTGGAGCTACTGGAAACAAAGATCATTTTATTTTCCAACATGAAGCAAAATTTGCCTTTAAACTAGTAAAATAGTATTTTATTTGAGGCAAACTACATTTCACTGCTGAACCGATTCTGTATGATCTGATAAAAATCTGGCTAGTTTAGAGCATTAAATTGTTCCCAATTCAAAACATCTTTGTGGGTGTAGCCGGCGCGGTCTGCGTCTCGCCGACTACTGCGTTGTGTTCAGGTGCACTGATAACAGGACGCTGACATTCCCTTAGGCACTTTATTCTGCAGAAATCAAATAAAAACATGGACGTGATTCTTCTCCATACACAACCAATAACCTCCCCTCAGCCACCGGTGAGCAGACTGACAGTTGAATTACATTCATTCAAAAGCATAAAACAAAATACAACAAATACAACTAACTATGGAGAATAAATGTCCGCATCAAACTGTTTTCTCTCCGATCACATTGCATGTTCTCCTTAGGAAATATATCTTCTATTCACACATACTACAACATAAATACCTACAGGATTACACCACAATTGTCGGACTTCCTAACGTAATACATATAAATGAACATCACATTTGCTGAACATGGTAATAAAATAAAATAGAATAAAAGTACATACCTGTAGAAATCAAATAAAAACATGGACGTGATTCTTCTCCATACACAACCAGTAACCTTTACAAAAAAAAAAGAAACACCGAAACATATACGCATGGAGACAAAATGGCGAAAGCTAACGACGCACGCATAGAGCAAGGTGGTTAGCTAGCTATTGCAACGTCCCATTATTCACTTCAAATATAAATTAAAAGAACACAAAACCACTCGTCCCATATGCCCTTACAATATTACACATAAAGAAATGATCAAGTGTACCTAGACAGTGAAATACATTAATTTGGTCTTAATGCTCACGTTGCGTACGGTACGTACCTCCCCTCAGCCACTGGTGAGCAGACTGACGAGGGCACGCAAACAAAACACTCTACCCACAAGAGGGCGCTGTTACACAAAATAATATAACTCCTAATACCAAAGCTAATTATACACACAGGACAGAAAAAGGATTTTGGAGAAATAAAACACAGTAACTTGAACCAAACACAATTGAAAACAAAAAAAGATTTACATATTTACTTAGACCTGTTACATGGGCAGGATGAATGTTACGCACAGACGAATTTTTAAAATTAAAAAAGTGATGCAGTCTCTTGAATGAACAAAAATATTATGGCACTGCTCCTTCCACGTGGCCGACTTCAAGTTAAAGTTTATACAACATCCTCGTCAGAGATAACAAAACGCTGTGCGTCACTGTTTACTTGTAAAAACCAGCCACGCAGGGCTATCTGTCCGGAGACACGAGGTGACGGGAAGGTGTCCATCTTGCTGGGTGTTTAGGAGGGAGAGAGACCGACTCTGCACGCTTATATTCCTTTGTTTTTGCCTGTGATCCAGATGTTGGCAACGGCAGCAGTGACTTGTGAAACTTGTGATAGTTGAGTAGGGTTTTCACGACGGGCCTGTAAGTCATTGTCCTTAAACCCTTAAGATAATCATTACAGCTTTTAATAGGTTCTTTGCATTCGCTGTCCGGGATGCGACGTCGTTCGTTTGTCTGCCACAATAAGTTTCTGTAGAAGGAATATATGAGACGAAACAAAGCTGTGCATCAGTGATGCATATTTCTGTCTGTGGGAAGTAACCAGAGACTCACTATACTGTTTTGCACATGCTGTCTTGCCATTTGAAAGCGATTGTTTGAAACGTATTATTATCCAAAGTGGTAATCTTTAGTGGTTTTCAACAAAGGCAAACAATCCAAGGCTTTGCTTTGTTAGAAAACAAACAAATAGGCTATGGAATTCAGTGGGAAATATTTTTGCACGATTCTATACACTGGAAAGGGCCCTTGGGGACAGATACAACAAACTCATTGAAACTGAGGAATTAAATTCATTGCTCATGCAACCAAACAAATTACTTTTCACTTCCTTCAATGCTGCCTTTACAAAGCCCATTTTAATTTTAATACCTAAACGACTGAAGGTACAAGTAACAAGGATAGTAGTCGCAGGAATGTTACATCAATTGTTCTAATTGAATTTAAATCGATGCTGCACATGTATTATTACTATTAATAATTAATTATTAAGCCATCTTCAGGAACCTCTGTTGACACCTGTCTAAAGGAGTCATGACAAGTCGAGTGGAGTTATTTAGGCTGCATAATCACACATAAGGTATCGAAGAGAACCTCACAGTAAAAGAGAATTGCTATAACATCTCTGCAATTTTGCTATCGTGTGAAATGACGGCCGCCTTTTCTTGTTGTGTAAACTAGTTGTAATATTTCTGACACCACGTGAAGGCAGCCGTACTGCTGCGTCACGATGGAAGAGACCAATTGGATTAAACTGAGTTAAACCACGCAGGCTCATTCCAAGCAGTAGTGGGGGGGTGTATCTTATATTTTTAAATACAGCCGGATGATTTCTGACATAACACGGTGTATTCCTAGCATAAGTTGGCGGGGTGTTTTAGCCCATTTACCCTTTCCCGGTTTACATTGAAATAAATAACATCGCTATGTTTCGGTAGTGTGTCATGCATAGACTTGCTCGCTTCCCCCCCTCACCTTGTCGTGCTCATGGTTTCGACCGATCCCTCTCTGTCAGTTTCAAGTCGCGCCTTCTCCTCCGCTGTGAGGCTCCTCGCTCCGGCCTCAGCGAACGCTTCCCGAACCCCCAAAAATTACACCCCGCCAAGAGGATTTTACGGGAATATCTGGAGCCACGCGCGGACATGGAATAGTTCCGGCCACGTACGAGCGAATGATAAAGGCCACTCACTCCAGAGGTAAGAAGGGATGTTCCTAGCGGCGCGTTGTGTAACGTGTTACCCGGGACCCGCTGGCTGCACCGCAGCGTGTCCGGGGGAATGTCACGCTCGCGTGGTTTTAGCAGAGTTACTAACGATCTTAACTACGTTGTTTTTTTGTGCATCGTACGTGCGCGTTGCTGAAACGGCGCATCAGAGGATCTGCAAACTCTGCTTTGAACGTCTGTTCCATGTCACGTTGAGTTCTATTGAAGAGCCTGTGGAATGTGTTGAATGGTGGCGATGTTTGCACTATTGAAATATCCTCATATGGGGCGCGATGATGTGGCTCAAAGTCTCCTCTCTTCTTTAGGTGTGTCCTTTTATTGACACATATCGGATTGGTATATTTACAATTTCAAATGATGTTGTTGTATATGAAAGCTGCCTTTGAAAAACAACAACATGCTAATTGTTTGTCCTTGACAGGGAGCACCAGTTTTCTTCTTTGTTTTTGTTTGGGACAATCCAGCTGCTCCCATGCATTACCTTTTTAACGTCACATTTTTACACACATGTTGCAGAATAGTAGAACAACACACGCCAATCCCAAGTTGTGTTAAACAACAATCGAGCACAATGGTTTTTCGGTATCTAATGTAGCAGAGCCTCCAAAAAAAGAAATTAACTGGACGAGCGATGATGCTCAAAGAGCGTGAGGGACGGTGTTGTTGTTGTTGTTTTTAGGCCCAGAGGTCCAACCTGTTGCACCGTAGAAGGTTGGACCGACTTCTCATCATGCGATGGCAATCAGCCCACTGATGCATGCTTCACCTCGTTGTGCGTCCCCCCGTTGACGACACATACCGTTCCAGAAGTGGACCACGCCATCGACAACCCCCCTCCCCTGTGGCTCGGTGGAGCGGTGAGGTCCTGACCTGGCGGAGACCCATATCTGCTTGAAGCGCTCGTTCTTTGGATCTCCGGTATTCACCCGCTCAGCACCTCTTCCTGGCCACAGCAAGCGTCAATGCAAAGGCGTCCCGAGAAAGGTCTTGGGCAGGTGCTACCTCTGTTAGGCCACCCGTGTTCCCGTAACTCGCTGTTTAGCTCATTAATGGATCAGGATGCGGAGCAGAGAAGGACCAGGGGAAGGATGTTTGCTTGGCGTCTGACGCGCCACAGGAGAGGGCAAGTTGTTCACTTAGACGGCATTGAATCCTTTTCAGAGGTCTGGGTGATCGGACGTGGCTGCACGTCGTGAGATGATCGAGGTGTGTCATGGAGATTCATCCGCGTTGTTTGTAAGGAAGCAACTGGGAGACATGTTGCAAATCGATAAATGGCAATATTGGCATCACAGGATTTCTATTCCAGTGTGACGCCGTCTTTTGAGCTTTCTATTCATCCATCTTGTGATGATAAACTAGGCTGGCTTTCTGTCTCTAGTTATTGTTTTTTTCCCTCTAAAAACAGCTGACCGTGCACTCATTCTCCAATTTATTCATATAGAAGAGTAATGTCTTCTATTCTAGTCAGCGGATACCAACATTTCGCTGCTATGTCCCCCCCTTTCATCATGGAGTCGGAACAACAAGCCGTTTCCTCCTCATAAAGTGGTCTGGTGGACTCTGCTGGATACCCGGACGAGGCCGGTTTAATAATTCAATCCGTTTGATGGCGCCTGCCTCATCTTTTTGAAGGCGGTGTGGAAACACTGACCCCCCCCCCCCCTCCCCCTCGCTTAACTGTCTCTCCGAGGGAGGGGGAGAGAGAGCGAGATCCTGTCTGGCACCGACCCTACAAAGTACCGCACCGCTACGGGAGGCGGGACGTCCTCTGAGGACACCTCCTGCCGTGTCGTGACCTTCGGGTTTAGCCTCCCGCAGGTCCGTGGGCTCGCGTGAAGCCCGCTGCTGTCGGGCCGGCGTGCAGATTGCGGTGAGCAGCCAGTGAGTTCCTAAAAGGAGTCTGCAGACAGGAGACGCTCGCGGTGCCTTGTTAACCGTTCCAGGGTTCTGCATCGACCGCGTAAAGGAAGGCACCGCGCGATGAAGCACAGTTTCCATGTTTCCCGACCTCCAACCGTGTCCTGAAATGAGGTCGTGTGAGTGTTGGCCTGTTGCTCAGTGTTGAGTCAGACGGACAGAAGCCATTAAGATACCGTTGATGTTAGAATGTTGCTGTTTTTTCCATTTCGTTTTTTTTTTTTGTCACCGCTTCCCCTTCATTCCCAGCAGAACATTTCCCAGCGTGGCTTCATGCACGTCCGATTTGGAGGGCTAACATCAAAGCCCCCGGGTTGATGTTGTGCGCGGGTCCGTTTGCTTCGGTGATTTCTCGCAGCTCCAGATTAAAGACGTTTGCAGGGTGCTCAAGCTCCTGAAAGGTGCTGTGTGACGTGAAGCAAAAGCACTTCGCCCCTTCAGCTTCCCACAACTCTACAAATGCTTTCAGTGCTTTTAAACCATTAAGGACCGTTAAGAACTGCACACTAGCGGCATCTCATGATGACTAGATGACGTTGCTGGGATTTGATCTCTCCGGTCCTCGTTCTAACATGCATCACACCAAAGGTCCAACTAAACACGTTGTAACCGCTTCTCGATCCAAACCGTTTGTACCTCAAACACAAGCTTTTTTTTACTCCAAACATTAGCTTAGAATGAGGACCTAAACGTCTTGCCAAAGACCCTTTTGAACTGCGATGTAGCCTTTGGTCACGTCACATTTGCATTAGCTGTGTTTTGTGTGCCAACTGTCACTCTTGCTGAATAGCTTTTATTTCGCCGGCCTTCTTCTCTTAAACCTGATGTCATTATATTCTTTTTTTTGTTTGTTTGATATCAGGGCTGCAACTAACGATTATTTTGATAATCGATTAATCGGTCGATTATTTCTTCCATTAATCGATGAATCAGATTTTAAAAAAAACGACATTAGAAAGCTTTAATTTCCAACCCTTTATTCTAAAACAGAACCTCAAATTCGTCAGAACTAGTTCTCTATACTACACTCACAAACACACCCTCATGTTCACTTGAAGCATATTCATTCAATTATTACCATCATTGTAGTGCAAGTTAAGTAAATGCATACAGCTAAAAAACAACCAAGTGCTATGAGATTAATTTAAAATGGCATTTGTAAATAAATGCATTAGAGGCTTCTTAGTTGATTTAATGGATCACCACGTGTCTCCCTTTACAGGCATAACATCAACTACCGTATAACCCACAGTATATGCGCAAGCGCACTGGACTACCATATATGACAGCATTAAAAAGTACAACACACACAAATATATTTGTCAACATTAACCGATATGGGACAAAGCACAAAATATCAGACAACACATTGAAAAATGAATGGTCCAAAAGAGGCGAGTAAATAAAAACGTGTCTTAGTATTGCCCTTCATTTGTCCCGTATTTTCCTCCACAACTTTGTTGACCTCTTGACCGGCAAACCGGCCTTTGCGGCGATCTCCCTCCGTGAATCCAACCCGCTTCTACAACCCGCCAATGACGGCTTGTAGAAGCGGTCATATTTACGCATTTTCTTCCGTCAAAATTTCTTAAATCTGATCCTTTCTCTCGTAAACGTTCTTCGTTTTAATAATGGTGCCATCGTGCTATGAAAGCGGAAATGTGAGACTCCGTAAAGGACGTAGTTAGCGGACCAATCGCAGCCTGGTGCGCTGCGGGAGGCTTGCGTTGCTTGCGTCGCTTTCGACGCAAGCCTAGAAAAATGTCTCAACACACGCAAGGACGCAAGGAGGTGTGAAAAGCGACGCAAGGGACACACAAGGGGGGCTTGCGTCGCTCTGAAAATGCAGAAGCATGAAGTAGGCTTTACTCTTATGTCTGATGTACTGTAGATGTCTAGCTACAGCTAGCAGTTAGCTTACCTTAGCCATCCAGCAATACACCTACCAGCACTTTACAAATGAACATGGAATATCTTGTCTTTAAAGTAAGCTGTAGGCAGTCTGGATATTTTAATATTAGAAGGTAAAACAAAATATCAACAATTTTGTCTCTTTTTTCCTCGTTGACACGCTGGTTCTTGGGATGCATTGAATGAAAACTCCCCTGGGGAAGCTGAAGCAAATCAGAGCCATTATTTTCCTTCAAATAGAGGGGTTGTAACGCTCACCTTCTAAAGGTTGCTTGTGGCGCCGAACACACACACACACACACACACACACAGATCTCAAGATGTTCCCATCGTGACGGATGATGTACCCGGAGAGCGTTTCCTGTTTGGCCTTGTGTTCAGTGCCCTTCCTGTGTCCGGGGTCCTCGTCCTTAGACGGCTGGTTGGTTTTTTTTGAGGTCGTTGTGCTGCAGGAGGATGACAGCGAGGCCGTAAACGGTCCTGCACTCGTCCGCGATCGCTGCTGTGATTGCTTCCCCCGTCCAACGTGGGAATTTCTGGTTAGAGGACGTAAGGACACGTTCTATTAAGAAGGTTCCAAAAGTTGTAGGCCGTCTCAACCGCTTGTGCTGATCTCTATCTGACATTTGAAATCTGCTTTTTATTAACTAATCAAGTTTTTTTAATTTCACTCCCTCTTGCGGACAGAATGAAGATGCCTGAGGCTGGGAGTTAGAGCCCCCCCCCCCCCCCCCCCCCCCCGACGAGAGAGCTTTGTCCAGTGCTGGGGGTGGACCCAGAGAACCCTGCCTGGGGGGGAGGGGGGGGGGGAGCAGGACCCTCACAAGCCCGGAGTCTGGAATATGGGGGATGGAGGAGCTGGTGCAACGGGAGGAAACGGGGCCAACAAGGCCCACGCGCTGTTCGACAACTTCGTCCAGGGGACCACGTGCAAGGGCACGCTCAAGGCCTTCCAGGAGCTGTGCGACCACCTGGAGGTCAAGCCCTGCGAGTACAGGGTCTTCTACCACAAGCTCAAGTCCAAGCTCAACTACTGGAAGGCCAAGGCGCTCTGGGCGAAGTTAGACAAGCGGGCGAGCCAGAAGGAGTACAAGAAGGGCCGCGTCTGTGCCAACTCGAAGGTGAGCGTTGACCGTTTTCCTTCAAGGGCCGGCTTCAGTTCAGCGGGAGCTCAAATTTGATCCTCGATGGGAATTCTGCCATTCGATGCCGATAATTACCACTTAGCACGATCAAGCGCGTGTGTGTGTGCGGGAAGGCTTTTCGTGAAGTGACGCTCCAAAATGAGGCTGATAAACTGGTTGTGTCAACTTTGAAAAGTTAATTTGACTGCTGATTTATTTATTTAAAGACTATTTACAGATAACATTTACTTACTTCAAACAAATACTAGACTTAGAACTAGCTTAGCATGGACTGAGCTTCAAAAGGCTCATTTATAGTACCTTAATTTATGTCAGGTTATCTAATGTTGTAGTTAGAGCTAAACTACACTAACACAGCTACAAATCAATAGCTTTGTTAGTTTATATTAGCTTGGCCTCTCTCCTAATTTAGCTTCTCTCATAGACTTTTGCTGTCATCACATATTCCATCCTATCGTTTGGCGGCTTGCCGCTGTGTAAGGATGTGTGGCAGAGAGCGAGAGTTCGAAGTGAGGATGCACTTCAGGATGCACTAACTAAAAGCTGGTTATTGGGCTGTCAGGGTGCGCTGTGAGGCGTCCTGACTCGCTTTTTTCACGTGCACAGTTCAAACCATTACTGCCTCTGCTGCATGCTGCTCTCTCCGTATCAAGTGTCTGATCATTGGCGCGGGACCCTGCGGCTTACGTACAGCCATCGAGCTTGGTTTCCTCGGGGCAAAAGTGGTGCTCCTGGAGAAGAGGGACGCCTTCTCTAGGAACAACGTGCTGCACCTGTGGCCCTTCACCATCCAGGACCTCAGGGGCCTCGGGGCTAAGAAATTCTACGGAAAGTTCTGCGCTGGTGCTATCGATCATATCAGTGAGTGCACCCGACACCCTCGTTTATGAGATTTCAAGATTCAATGTTTTGGGGAGAGAAGGTGCGTTTGTGTCCTCTGTAGTTCATTCAAGTGTCCTCCCCTTCTCCTTTTCTCGTGTCGCAGGTATTCGTCAGCTGCAGTTGATTCTGCTCAAAGTGGCTCTCCTGGTGGGCATCGAGATCCACGTCAACGTGGAGTTCAAGGGTCTCATCGAGCCCCCAGAAGACCAAGAGCCTGAAAGTGAGTGCGCCCAAAAGCGATGGCGTGCCGTCTGTCCGCCAGTGCGCTTCCGTGCCGGCCGACGCCGTGCGTTTCCTCCACGTCACACGTGCCGTGTGTTTTTCTCAGGGATCGGCTGGAGGGCCGAGGTGCACCCCAGGACCCACCCTGTCAACGAGCTGGAGTTCAACGTCATCATTGGAGCCGACGGGAGGAGAAACACGCTGCCAGGCAAGTCCTCGCAATGCTGTTCGTTTTCCTTGAACAAGAGAAAAGCCCAATACGGGCTGTTTGTTGCATATAAACCAACTCATAGAACGATGATCTCATCTGTGCACCGCTGTAGCTGACCTCACTGCGTTCCTCGCGCATGAATGAACATGTGTGCACGTCTGTTTACATCTGCGTGTTTGTTTTCCGTCTTGGCCGCTGCGTCCAAAGTAGGAGGAATTAATAGCAGGAATTGTTGAATAGGCAGTCTTGTTTCTCCTCTGTGAGCACTTGTCCTTCATCAGCAGGCTCCATGAACTGCAATCACGCAGAACCCCCCCCCACCCCCCCATCCTCCTAGAAGAACGCTGTCAGAATACAGACCATCTGGTTGTGTTTATAGTGTACAATTGCTGGGTTTGATGCATCTTATGCAAGGAGCACTCAAGCGCTCTGCTTTCGGGTCCCGTACCCACGGATTCCTCACCTCCCTGACAGGTACTTCCTTTTTCTCTTGTAATTCCCGCACCCCCCCCCCCACCCCCCCACCCCAGGTTTTCGGCGCAAGGAGTTCAGGGGGAAGCTTGCCATCGCCATCACTGCCAACTTCATCAACAGGAACACGTCGGCGGAGGCGAAGGTTGAGGAGATTAGCGGGGTGGCCTTCATCTTCAACCAGAAGTTCTTTCAAGACCTCAAAGAAGCAACAGGTCCGTCTCTGCTCCGATCTACTGCAGCGTTATGTTTTTAAACCTTAAATTACAGATACAAAACGTTCCTGGAATCAGCATTTTGGAGAGGGGGGGTGGAAATTAACAGGATAAATGATCTTTCCTTGAAACACCGCTCTGAATTTGTCCAATTAAAATGCTTAACATTAGATCCGATGCCAAGCCTGCCAGTTTATTGCTGACGCGGCAGTGTGGCCGTGGCGATGTGCTGCTGGTCGGGTAATCGCTGCTCTAATGACGACGTGACAGCCGGCGATGGCAAAAAGGAGAACAATGGTTCGGTACGTAACCGTGCTTCTGTGTTGGTCTTTTTTAGGTATTGACCTGGAAAACATTGTGTACTACAAGGACGACACGCACTACTTTGTGATGACTGCCAAAAAACAGAGCCTGTTGGAGAAGGGAGTCATTCTGCACGTAAGTGATCAAAGCCCAGATCTCCGTTCAATGTATTCTGTCTGTGTGTCGCTGACAAAATCAGAATTCTGTCCCTCTCTCGCCTCAGTGTCCCACTCGCTTTCATTCTCTCAGCCTTTTATTCCCTTTTGTGTTTTTTTTTGACCAGTATCGGCCTAATGGTCTAACCAGGCCAGCAGTGTTCTGGAACAAACGGACAACTCAAGCACACTTACTGCGTGTTTGCGTCCTCGCTGTACGCGGTAGTTTTCTTTCCTCGGCCGCTTTCCACAGGAAAGACTTTTTTTTATGTCTTCATGTACAGACATAACTGAAGGCGTGCTATGTTTCGTGTGATGGCATTTTGCATTCTAACAAGCCGCCCAAAAGGCCCGTCACTAATCACCATCATCGTTCTTCTTCTCTGATCGTTTCAGACGAGTGTGTTTTCATGTTGCGCTGATGACATTATTGAGCTTAATGGTTAATTAACGCACAAGTCTGCGCCCTGAGGCGATTTGGAGTATACAGGCATGTGCAAATGAAAAGTCATAATTTATTGGTTTAAGTAACTTCTGGTAGTTAAAACAAAGTCCCAGACGGATCATTTTACAGCAAGTACATTGACTCCGTCCTGCACTTTGGAAAAAGAAGTGCGCAGTGGACGGCAGGTGGGCGACAACTGCCTTGAACTCCACGAGTTCAAGGCAGCAAAATTGCAGAACGACTCTCATTCATGTCTTCCACTACCCTGACCTTCCTCTCCCTCACCACCATCACCACCACCACGGGCCTGCGTTGGACAACCGGGGAGCTTGAAGGTGGAAGAATGTCCTTGTACGCCCTCTGTGAAAACATGCCACAGTGAAGGAATGCAGCGTTTTGAAGCTACATGTCGGAGAGAACTGCTCGGTTTATTCCACTGCGAGACAGAGAAGTCTATTCTGGGGCCGTTGACTCTAAAATAGACTTCACACCGGGGAACGTTTACGGTTTGAACTTTACACAATGTCACTTTTGACCCAGTCACAAAAAATGATGAAAAGCATTCTTCTCATGGCCAGCTTCAGTCTGAAGACACGCGCCGAGCGGCTGATTTTCATCCAACACTGCCTTCATCCAGACGTGCACTTCTCCTAACCGCTCGTCCCTGTCGTAGGACTATGCGGACACAGAGCTGCTGCTGTCCCGGGCCAACGTGGACCAGGCCGCCCTGCTGTCTTACGCCCGCGAGGCCGCTGATTTCTCCACCAACCACCAGCTGCCCGCGCTGGACTTTGCCATCAACCACTACGGGCAGCCCGACGTGGCCATGTTCGACTTCACCTGCATGTACGCCTCGGAGAACGCCGCCATGGTGCGCCAGCGCCACGGCCACGAGCTGCTGGTGGCGCTGGTGGGCGACAGCCTGCTGGAGGTGAGATGGAGCGAGAAACGGCGTCTTTGGTTTTTTTTTTTTTTTCTAAAGCTTTCCACAGTTTTGACATTCTTCCCCCTTTTTTCTCTTCTCCTAATTCCTGTGGCCATATTTGGTGGTTTGGATGTGGCGTCTGCTGTGTCCCTCAGCCCTTCTGGCCCATGGGCACCGGCATCGCCCGCGGCTTCCTGGCGGCCATAGACTCCGGCTGGATGGTGAGGAGCTGGGCTCAGGGAAAAACCTCTCTTGAGGTTCTAGCTGAGAGGTGAGAGTGTGGAAATACTGAAACACAAAGACTCACCTAACACTTGTACTCGAATATGCGCCCGCGCGCGCACACACACACAGCGACACCTTCGCAGATGCGTGTTCTGTCTCTTTAAACACGCCCTTTTATCTTTAAGTGCTTTACTAGGAAATGTGTACGTGATTTCGAGCACTGGTCCCACCTCGTCTCGTACTAATGGGATAAGCGGTTCGCATAAGGACTGAATGGAATGGGACTCCCCTATATGGCCCTCTGTGCTTTTTTGATAACAATGTTAATGAGTTTTCGCGATCGATTCGCTTAGTATCTGCCTGTAGTTTTCCTCCCATCAGTAGGACTGCTCATATTGCACATGGGAATATAGCCGATGTTTTCCTCTGTGCTTTCAGGGAGAGTATATACCGCCTATTGCCCCAAACCACGCCGGAAAACGTCAGTAAGAACTTCAGCCATTTCAGCGTGGACCCAACGACGCGTTACCCCAACATTTGCCTTAACTTCCTCAAGCCCAGCCAGGTGAGCGAGAGCCAATCAAATCTCTGGTGCCGTCTTTTGAAGCCAGGAAACGGAGTGTTCTGTCCACGTAATGTAGTACTGACGACTGTGTTTATCTTGCAGGTGAGGCACCTGTGCGACACAGGAGAGCCCAGGGAAATGCGCATCGAAATCGAGAATGTGATCAACTCTTCGACGCCAAAGTTGGCCAGGAATGGTTAGTCTCTGTTACCTGCTGTAGAATATGAACGGTTTCAGTAGTGCATAAGAAATGGTGCAGATTGGTGTAGGCGCCGATTGCTGATGTGTAATATTGAACTATTTCCACTCTAGACAATTGTCTGCTTGACAAGCAGTCGCGAGGTAACACAAAGTCCGAGAGCATGGTGTTGCTTTTCAAGAATTCCTGATAGTTCTAACAGTTGGAAACTGTCAAAATGAACAATGCAAACTGATGGAACTTGTGGGATTGACCGATTGCAGCCTTGCAGATTTTTGTGTACTAACTCATAGTCAAGCTCACTGGTTTATTCAGTGGATTTATTGAATGTTTTTAAGGTTTCCTGTGTGCATCCTCTCCTAATCTCTCATTTGCCTCCATGTTTGTCCTTTTTAAAGCTTTTCACTGTTCATAATATTCACTCATTGGTTGGTTAAAACTGGTACTAACATGAATGAAGATGCCGTGGATGACGGACCTTTGTGATTCCATGCTCAGCCTTCCATGACATTGTCCTGCAGAAAACTGCGTCGTGCTCCTCAGAAACAGTTTTATGTTCAACCCAGATTGTGTTTAACCTGCTGCGTCATCATCAGGCCTTTTTTGATTTTTCTGCCTCACCAGAATCCATAGCTCGATCCAGTAAGCTGCTGAATTGGTGCCAGAGACAAACTGAGGGGTACAGGAATGTCAATGTGACGGATCTTACGATGTCCTGGAAGAGCGGTCTGGCCCTGTGCGCCCTCATCGACCGATACCGACCGGACCTCATGTGAGTAGCTAAAAGAAACCTGTACGGAACCAGTGACGGGCCTATTTATTGGGGCCAATATCCTCAATACAATACTGTGTTTGTATACTATTTACATTATATACAAGAATCTTTATTCCTGGTTTTATTCCTGACCGACTTGTTGCAGCAACAATGAGTTACATTTTTACAAGAATTCTTTTTGATTATTTTAGGAATAAAAAATAATTATCCAAATTCATATATGAATATTTATTTTTCTTTCAAGAATTAATAAAACAATGTTTAAGTCAAGCCCGATGTTGCACAGGAAATAATATTATGCGTCCCTTCCAGACATACAGTTTATTAATGAAATACTGGTGTTGGATCACTGCTCTGTATCATGCCCGACGCCAAAAACCACAGAAGCGCCCTGAGGGCCGAGAAAGTCAGGCCTGAGCGTCCCGATGCAGAACACCGTTCAAAAGAGTTCAGATTCCTGCCGATAACAAATGTCTTTTGCAAAAAAAACATTTTGCAAACTCTGCCACGCGTAACCCTTTATGGTCCGAGCGAAAGGTTTAAAACTCCTGCAGTGCCTGTAATGATGAGCCCGCTGTGTGTATATGTGAATATGCAATACGAAGAGTGTGTGAAACTGCGCGCTACAGAAGCCGCATGCCAGAAACGACCCGAACAAGCTCCAGCCCCGAAACAAAGCTCACTGCAAACCTCATTTTCCCGCAGTATGCCTTATGAAAAGAAAAGTGACTAGTGGTGCACTATAACGAAAGCGGTGTTCTATCACATTGCTAAAGACATGGTCCCTGTTGCAACTGTTGGACAAGTCGAATTCAAAACGCTCCTGAAAACGATGGACCCGAGATATGAGCTTCCCAGTCGCAACTACTTTGCAAGAGAAGCACTCACAAACATGTATACTGAAGTCAGGCAGAGCCTTGCTGACCGGCTCGCTAATGTGACCCATTTTCCATTGACCAGTGATGAGATATTTTTTTATTTATATGTGCACCTTATGGAGCTTTGTTTTCAAAAAGAATACTCCTGTTATACACGTTGTGTTTACATATTATTATTTGAACGGCTGAGCATTTGTTTATTGTTTAATTTATTATTTATTCATTTTTATTTATTTGATTTTATTTGAACTCCTTACTGAAATTGCTGGTTTCAATTAAACAACTAATGACATGTCATATTTGGCTTTGACTTTGCTTTGACATTTGCGTTCAGGTTTTCTTCCCTTTAATGTGGAGAAAATATCGGGATATATACCGTATATCGATATCCAACCAAAATATACCGGGATATGACTTTTGGTCTATATCGTCCAGCCCTACTTGGAGCCCTCTTCATGTCCTGACCTGCTCCTCCCAAAGAAAGACACACGCACACACATAAACCCTCTCTTTAACATTACACACAGTAAAAACAACACCGTCTCCATCCGCATTGTAGTTTGCGATGCGACAACTGCAATTATAAGCTATAAGTGTCCGCGTCCCGAGTGACCTTTTAGCAGTGCAGCAGTTGTGCTCCACTGCTCTTTATAGGCCAGTTGATGGAAGGAGGGGAGGGGGAGAGATGAGTTACGGTACCTCCGGGAAACTGTGTTCACGTGTGCTGATGTGCACAAAGGCATCAAGGGGAGAGCTCACGTTGTGCCTGATGTTCCAGTTATAATGCTTTTAAGTGGATTGCACGTGCAGTTCAGATGTATTGATGGCTCCTTCTAATGGTATTTTCAGCTGCAGTATTGATGCATTAATTCTTCTTTCTGCAACGTGTGTAAGTATCCTGCTGTACGGAGATGCTTCTCTTCTCCTATGTACTTGCAGTCTCCGTGTTAGACCCAAAACTGCTGTTTAGTTGCTGGAAAATAGAGACAAGATCTCTCTTTTTTTGCCGATTCATCACAAAATGAGCAATATTAGATCATTCTCTTATCGATTTGGAGCGTAAGAGAATACTCAGCTGGGTGAAAGTCTTTACTCTGAACAATCCTATGAAGATTGTATTAAACTAGAACATGCATTTACTGCTGAAAATGCGTTGGAATGCAAAAAGCTGAAAGCTGAAATGAACTTCAGAAAATAGCTGAAAATACAGAAAGTTGAAGGGAATTTTAATACATTTGCTGAAAATACAGATATTAGAAAAGCTGAAATTAATTTGAAATTGCTGAAAATACAGAAATGGGAGAAGCGATAAGGAATTTCCACAGATTTTCTGAAAATGAAGAAATGAAACAACCATAGAAGAAAGAATATCAAAATATTGATAAAATACAGACATCAGAAATGCTGAAATTAACTTCAATAGATTTGCTGAAAATACACAGTTGAGAAAAGCTTGGAAGAATCTGAAATGGACTAAAAATATATTGTAATAAAAAATACTAAAGAAATATATAAATTTAAATATTGCTGAAAATTCATAAATGACAAAAGCTGAGTTGAGTCTTGAAAAAAATATTTTTTGCAGTAATATTAGTAGTAATTGTAATTTTGGCAGTAATAATATTAGCATTAGAATAAGTAGTAGTTTTAGTGTCAATAGCAGTAGATAAATAGTTGAATAGTGATTAGTGAATATTTTAATATTGGGTTTTTATAGCTGAAAGTGTGGAGGAGGAGTTGAAAGGTGCGACGCAAGAAATAGAAGAAAGCGGAATAAAGTTTCGAAGAACAATACTTGGAATTCTTAATGCATTCCAACAATAAGTTGAATAAAGATTCGAAGAACAATACTTAGAATGCTTAATGCATTCCAACAATAAAGAATAGAAGAACAATACTTGGAATGCTCAATGCATTCCAACAATAATATGAATACGTTGAATAAAGATTCGAAGAACAATACTTGGAATGCTTAATGCATTCCAACAATAACTAGAAAATGCATTTCCAGCTGAAAATGCGTTGGAATGCAAAAACCTGAAAGCTGAAATGAATTTTTAAAAATAGCTGAAATTACAGAAAGTTGAAGGGAATTTGAATACATTTGCTGAAATTACAGCTATTAGAAAAGCTGAAATAATTTGAAATTTCTGAAAATACAGAAATGGGAGAAGCTGAAAGGATTTAATAGATTTGCTGAAAACAACTGAAACAAATTTGAAAAATTTGAAAAATGCTTAATGCATTCCAACAATAAAGAATAGAAGAACAATACTTGGAATTCTTAATGCATTCCAATAATAAAGAATAGAAGAACAATACTTGGAATTCTTAATGCATTCCAATAATAAAGAATAGAAGAACAATACTTGGAATGCTTAATGCATTCCAACAATAAGTTGAATAAAGATTCGAAGAACAATCCTTGGAATGCTTAATGCATTCCAACAATAAAGAATAGAAGAACAATACTTGGAATTCTTAATGCATTCCAATAATAAAGAATAGAAGAACAATACTTGTAATGCTTAATGCATTCCAACAATAAGTTGAATAAAGATTCGAAGAACAATCCTTGGAATGTTTAATGCATTCCAACAATAAAGATTCGAAGAACAATACTTGGAATGCTTAATGCATTCCAACAATAATTTAAAAACTTCAGTAATCAATCATTTTTGAATAACGATCACATGAGCAATGTAGGGGTCGCTCATAGTGACTGGATCGATAAGTTGGTTTGTAAATGTCTTGTCCGCAGTCGTCTCCTCCACGCTGTGTTTTGTTGTTGTTCAGAGTTTCGCGCGGCTGCCGCTGCGTACTGATGACGTCACAGACAGGCAGACTGAATCGAATAACGTTTAACGTGTCTAAAGTGCTAAAAAACAAACAAACACGCATCCACACCGTTTTTGTACTTAAATCCAATGTGCAGTTTCCAAGTATCGATACAATTGATTATGTACCATTTCAATCGATTTGTAATCGATATATGTCGTCTGGAATGCCAATTTGCGGAGCACAGATCGATTCAGTTGCATCGCAGGAATATAAATCGATCAATCGATTCAATGAATGAATCGTTTCACCCCTACTGGCCAGGCATCATTTCTATCCCCAATCTGTCGTTTGCCTCGGCTCCACAGAGCTACAGAGCATCTGTCGGCTTTTGAATTCTAAAAACCACCCACGCAGACAACGTAAGCAGTCAGCTGGTGATCATAGTATTTGAATCACACTCGTCCGGTGTTGCTTCCTAATCAGTAGTAAATGATAATGTTGTTCTGTATTTGTCTGTTGGCTAAAATAAATTACCATAACAATTTGGTTACATCATAACGATGTGGTTTGCACAGCTTGTTTCTGTAGCAACAAAAAATCTCCCGTGCAGCTGTTGGGGGGTCTAAATTAATATAATCTCCTGTAGATGAAGATATACAGTTTAGGACCATAGTTTAATGTGGTAATGAACCAATGGAAGATGTCACATGTTTTATTCTTTGTTGAAAAAAAACTGTTAAATATGAATGATTTACATATAAATAAAAAATGATAAGAGAAAAGAATCCCAACATAATGTATTATTTAAACAAATCTGCTAGTTTTTCTAGTAAATGCCCGCGTAGCCTGTAAATGTGCATTTGTGTTACATTTACAGGAGCAGCAGAGATTTAAGATTGTTGACATTGAGTGTTTGTGGGTTTACGATAATAATCTTTTTGCCTACTTGTCCCCGTGTCTTGGTCCCTGCATTCACTGCTCACTCTCTCTTGCCGCTGCGCCCAGTGACTTTGGCTCCCTGGACGAGCGAGACCAGGAGAAGAACAACCAGTTGGGCTTCGACGTGGCGGAGAGGGAGTTCGGCATCTCGCCCTGCATGACGGGAAACGAGATGTCTTTGGTGACGGAGCCGGACAAGCTCTCCATGGTCATGTACCTCAGCCAGTTCTACGAGATGTTTAAGGACACAGTGCCCCCCGGAGGTGAGACCGGGGATTACAGTGGTGTCTGTATGAAGTGCTGCCGATGCTTTGACATCATCATTTCCCTTACTACCAAGAGGATTTAATCAGTTGCTTATTTTCTGCTCATTTCTGCACAGATAACCACAATTTGAGCCCGGAGGAGAAGGCGGCACTGATCTCCAGCACCAAATCCCCCATCTCCTTCCTCAGCAAACTTGGTCAGAGCATTGCAATATCCAGGAAACGGAACCCAAAGGTCAGCTTTGGAGAAATGCCCCGTTGGTAATGGCAATATTGGCCCGCGAGAGTGAAAATAACGAGTGACGTTGTCGTCAACAGGACAAAAAGGAGAAGGACGTGGACGGTTTGGGGAAGAGAAGGAAAACCAGCCAGTCCGAAGATGTGAGTGGCTCAGACAGCAAAGCGACTCAGATGTTGAGTTTGTGGTTATCGTTTGTGCAGCCAATCCAACCACAGCGGGCTCATTAATCCCACTCTGCTGACAGGCAAACAGGCTTCTCATGTCTGCGTTCTCACAGGAGGAGGCGTCCAGGAGCGGCCGTGACGACAGGCCGTCCGTCCCAGCCGTCCTGTCGGAGAGGAAAACGGACCCCGGCGCCGTGGGGAACCACAACAAGGTCAAAGTCATGGCCACCCAGCTGCTCGCCAAGTTTGAGGAGAACGCTCCTCAGGCAACGGGACTCAAACGACAGGTACGGTGGTGCAAAGCTCTCCACTGATTAGGCAGCTAGATGCTGAATGTGTCCGGACTTTGTTGCACTTCAGATCATGTTTCCGTGCTCATTGTGGTTTGTTTAACCCTTCAACGCATAACTGGGCCTATAAATGAGCCGAGGTCCAGAATGCTTAATGTGGGTCAGGGCTCGGTATTGTTTCTCGTCACGTAGGCGGCGTCACACTGCCGAGCGGGTCTGGAGGTGAACTGGTTCGCAGAGCTTCGGTTGGCCTGCCACCGAGGGAGGGAGGGCGAGAGAACACTAGGCCGGATTGTTGACTGGGGGGAAACTCTCATCTGTGCTGTTTGAGAAAATGTCTTGTTATTGTCCATCTTCAAAAAGCTGCCTCTGATTTTGAAGGGCTTTTTTTCTACATGGAAGCTTATGCTGGTGTGTTTGTTTGGACATTGAAGTAGGTGGAAATGGCAAATTGTATGATTTATGTTGCGGCTAAACTCAACTTTAAGGTTAATCTTTGGCGATATAGAAAAAGCCAAATTGCTGCGCAATTGTTTAGCTAAAAATACTTAAACACAAAATGTTCTCTTTTCATTCATTGTTTTTTTGTACATTCCCTTTTAAATATCCCTAAGTGCTATTAGAAATAGCACACAGCTCTCCGCATGGTCCTCTCATGAGTGTGACTTATTTCCTCGTTAGTTTTGAACACATGATTTTCCCTTTGTTTCCATCCTGAATCGTCTCTCTGTTTCTCTCTCCTTGTTTCCACCTCTCGTCTTGGACTCTGTCACGACACCCTCGCACGGTTATGCGCCCCCTCCCCCATCTTTGTCTTGACCACGAAAGGGGGAGTCTCTGCCCAATCTGGATCGCCTTTTTCCCCTTAGGGAGCCGGTGCGCCTGCCACCCGTCCCGGCGTGGAGAAAGGTAAAGAGGGGAACCGCCCCCCACCTCATCCCCTGTAGCGACCTGCAGCTAGGCTGACCTAACCATGTGTCCCCGCGGTGTGTGGCATTAACCTGGGGGAGCGGCTTCGTGCCGTACTAGTCACCTTGTCGGTACACAATCAGCTGATTCGAGGCATCAACTCAAAGGCCGGTTTGTTGCGTGCGTAACAAATCTGTGTGTGCGCGTTTCACATCTCAGTCAAATAGACGTGGTTGTGTGTGTGTGGTTTTTTTTTGTGCGGGGCGCTTTGGAGTGCGTTGCCTTCAGGGTCTTCTGCTGTCTGTCCTCTGCTTATCCTGTGTCCTGGTCAGAGGTGTCAAGTAACGAAGTACAAATACTTCGTTACTGTACTTAAGTAGAAATTTTGGGTATCTATACTTTATTTTTCAGACGACTTTTTACTTCTACTCCTTACATTTTCACACAAATATCTGTACTTCCTACTCCTTACATTTTAAAAACAGCCTCGTTACTTCCGGGCTTGTCGTAGTTCAAAAACACACGCACACAAAAACCCCATGTAAATGGCGCTATCCAGACAGAGTGAATGTGATTGTGTTTGGATGAGAATATAAACATTTAGCATCCAGACACCCGATTGGTTTTCTCCGCGATGCGCCGGCAGATCGGAGCGACACCGGGTGGGAAAAGTGGTCGGTGGAAAGTTGGTATTTAGCGACATGGAGCCTCCTCCTCTTCCTCCTCCTCCTCTTCTTCCTCACGCAGATTCCATGTAACGTTAAATGAGTATCTTCATGACCGTGGGTTTGTCCTAAATGTTTCATTGAGAGTCTGGCACAACACAGCGACTTGCAAGTAGTGCAGCGTATTACATAAACTGATGTGCGTCTTAATGCGGCTTTAGAAATGAACACACGAGGATTCTGTTTTTGCTCATGAAGCCTGAACATACTGGTTATTTGACCAATGTTTTGATAACCGACCGCTGCCAGTTCAGTGTTTCCCATCATTATAAACAGGGGTGCGACCCCCCCATGACGTAGTGAACCTGGGGGAGACACTGCAGTCTACCTCATCAATGCGAACAACGCGTGTGTGACTTGTGTCACTGGAAAATGGGTTGTGGTTTTATCTGTTTAAGTCAGATACATTTGTTGTTGTTGTTGTTGTTGTTTCCATCATCCCAACAGCAGGTCACGTGATCCGCAGGCACCTTCTGATCACATTGTAACGGACTGACGTGTTGTGTGAGCGAGGTTACACATTAAGAGTTTGTCCTTAATGGAATTTCTTACATTACTTTTACTTTTATACTTTAAGTAAAAAGCTTGAGTCGCTACTTCAACTTCTACAAGAGTCTTTTTAAACCCTAGTATCTGTACTTCCACTTGAGTAATGAATGTGAATACTTTTGACACCTCTGGTCCTGGTTCAGAGACGCACGCAGCAGCAGGAGCAGCTGAGCATTCGCTATAAAAAAATGATCAAGGGTCAGCCGCTGCCCAACAGAACCTAGCCTAGCTTCAAAAGCCCAGTAGTCCTCCAACAACCTTTGCATCCCATTCGGTCCGGACCCCCCCCCCCCCCATTACCCCCCATCTCCACCCCCCCCCCCCGGTCATCATCCTGCTTTACTGTTCTCTCTTTTTCCCCGATGATGCTTGGAAAGTAGTCTTCTTTTTGTCTTGTCACTAGATTAAGTATTCCCCTCACAGAGACGGATTTAAACTCCAAACCCCCCCCGTCCTTAACGAGATTTAATTCACTGCTGGTCCTAAACGTCCTCAAACTGCACAGTGAGTCTAGCTGCAAAGTTAATTAATTTAAAGTCTTTTGTAAAGACTTTAAATAATTGCAAAAATTCCAGGCACTTATTTTAGGATATAGTTATTTAAGCTACTCTTATATTCAGTACTCACTTTTTATATTTATTATATATATATATATATATTTCACAAGGCCTTTTTCTGTGGTTTCCTGCACTCTGCTTGGCCATATTATATATATATATATATATATATATATATGACAAAGTTAACTAGAGAACCAGTGAATCACTTCCTTTTTTGACCACTGTATTCATAGGCCTTTTTCCTGCATACACTTAGTCTGGGTAGGGTAGTCTGTGTTTGGGTGCCAGGATAACGATGCTTGCGTTGTGAAGTATCACCCCACACTAATTCTATTAAACAAATTGATAACAAAAATTAGACTGATGCAAATATGGTAAGCTACAACTTTACCTTTTTGTTTTGCAAAGTTTTCAGAGCACTGACATTCATTATCCCGCTGCAGATTACAACAATTGGGAGTGCGAAGCCTAATTGCTCTTAGCAGCCTCATTATTTTCATCATCATTCTCTTCCTCCTCTGCTGAATCTGCCGTTCCTGTCCTTCATCTCTCAAGGCCAGTGGTGGCGCGGACCAACTGTCCAGCTCGGGCTCTCGGAGCTGCCCAAAGAAAACCATTCTGCTCCCTTCTTCTTCCTCCACTTCTTCGCTCTGTCTCCACTCAGAGGTGACACACAGATTGCTGTATCCGTCTGTGTGTGTGTGTGTGTGTGTGTGTGTCTGTTTGTGTGTGTGTTTGTGCATCTATCTCTGCCACGTGTCCATGGAAAAGCCATCTAGTGGCCCATTTTACCCAGACTCCCATTTGTTCTCTGAAAGCCTCCTCTAATTATGTCTGCCGTACCACCCGATTTGGCCTCTGCAGGATGTGGTCTGAGAAACCTTTTGAAAAGGTGATGACATTTTCTGCTTCGTACATCTCTTCTGTGATTGAATTACGTATTCCTTTGCAGGAGGCAGCAAGGCCTCTGCACTGTGGTGATGAAATGCCCTTATATGTGCTTAGTATTCAGGAGACGGCTGAGCTACTGGCCTCTCAGCTCGAGGCCAAGCCAGCCGGAGCACAGGTGAAATTCCCCTGATTGTTGGTCAACTTCACCCTTTCAAAAATAGACACCGAGATCATCAGTGTTGATAATATCTATCATTAGTCTAAACTAGTGATTGCAAAAGGGAGCATGCATTATGACCTATGAAGGAATATTTATGATAGATAAGATGTGTTTGTATGGGATTCATCTTTCTGTTTATTTAGTTATTAAACTGTATGAAAGCACCGATCGTAAAAAGTGAATCCTTCTCGCGTCCTTTTTAGTTAACAGCCAAGGGCATATTCAAATAAAGGCCCCCACCTGTCCGAGTCACACACCTTGAGACAGGTAGATATCCACGTGCAGGAATGTGCTGTGGTGACGCGAGCGCGCTTCACGGAGCCGCATCATCTCACACAAACACACGTGTTGCTCAGCAAGGCTTAAGCTCACTCGAGACTCTCTTTAAACGCCGCCTGCTTGTTGTGAAACACGGAGGGACTCATTTGCTGCCCGTTGTCTGTGGGTATGTGGGTGAGTAATCCGTCCTTGTGACTCTCTGCCTCACGTAAAAGAAATATTCACATCTGGCACGCGCCTGAACCTAATTATAATACCCACACAGTCACGACGCCAACCGAGTCTCTGGCAGTTGTCTTGGATTTGGAAGAGCAGCTTGGCAGCAAAATGAAAAAAAATTAAATAAATCTCATCTAGTTTAATTCCCATGTTGACGAGCGCAGTTCCAGTGGTGTCAGGAAAAGAACTTGGGAAAAGAAGTGGGACTGCAAAGCGAGCTCCAATCTCATGCACAGTAACAGCCTGCGTGGTTCAGGATTACCTCATACAAACAACGTCCATGCGATCTCTGTTTTTAATGATCTTATCCTCATCGACTAAAGATTTAAAGTTATGACGGGTAATAACAGCACAGGTCGAATGGTCTCTTGCAACAATTTCTTTTATCAGGAATCAGGAAACATTTATTGCCAAAATATGTCAAACATACAAGGAATTTGTCTTGGCGGTTGGTGCCGCATATGTGACGGTTCGTGGATCGATGACCCCCAGTCATAACCTCTGCCGTGGTCTCTTGTCCGAGGGTTATGAATTAGCTCCTACAGTCCGGCAGTGGGCTGCCGCGTGACCTCCACTAAATTCTTTTACGCGTTTACGCCTCTTCTCTCCCCAACAACTGACCCTCAGCGCTGTCCTCCCGCAGGGCTCCCTCAGGAAGGAGTTCCCCGTCAACATCGGCGGCAGCGACGTGTGCTTCTTCTGCCGAAAGCGCGTGTACGTGATGGAGAGGCTGAGCGCCGAGGGGAAGTTCTTCCACCGCAGCTGCTTCAAGTGCGAATACTGCAGCACCACCCTGCGGCTGTCCTCCTACGCCTTCGACGCCGAGGACGGTGAGGCTGCCGACCATTACTTTCGTGCATCGTGTTTCGTTTGTCATGAAGTTCCCAACGAACGACTGTAGCCGATAGGAACCAAACAAATACAAATAAGTAAAATAAAAAGCCAGTTCAATACAATTACATTCGTTTGTTTGGCTTTACAGTCTGTACACATGCGACATCGTCTTGTCCCAGCATCGTCACGTCGGCTCAGTTTGCCCCGTGGATGTTTACCGGAGGCACAGAGATAAATGAGCTGAAAGCAACACGTGCACTTTACCAAGTTGCACCGGACTTCGCTCATTTCTGCACAAACGTGGGCCGCCAGATTCATTTGAAAGATGCTACAACCACATGACTTTTCAACCCTTTCTTAACATGTAAGCTCAGCCCAAAGGCTGGTGTTGAATCACATTACATTGACCTCAGAGTCACGTTCAGTCTCGTAGTTGGTCTGTGAGCTGCTCGAGGATAGGCGGCAGTTTTTCACATTTAGCCGTGGGACTTCTGAGCCGAGACAGAAGGGAAGATCTTTTTATTGTAAATGGCTATATATATAATCTTTATATTTTTTGGTTTATTTGTAAAAAGAAATGCATGTGGAAAGCAAAGGATAAACCAGAGGGAAATCACATGTATGCTTCAAGCTTACGTGGGATTTGGAATCAGAATCCTGATTCATATTTTCCAGATTATGCAAGGCACATATTTATTTCTCAGTTGAATTGATTTGCATATGCGCTTTGTGTTTCCTTTACCCGACAGGGAAATTTTACTGCAAGCCCCACTACTGCTACCGTCTGTCCGGCTACGCTCAGAGAAAGAGGCCTGCTCCCTCCCCCGGTCCCATCACTGCTAAGGTACCGTTTCCCCTGCACTAGATCCCGGTGGGATTCACGGGCGCAGCCTTGAAACCAGCGTATTGTTTTTGTTTAAAAGCTAAAGAAAAAGCTAACACGTGGGTGGCAGTAGCATCAGGGGACATTGCTGCGGTTTACCTCGTCTGTCTGTGCAGGAGAACCAGGCGGCCCAATCTCCCACGGCAACCGTGGATGCCCCCGGGAGGGCGGCGCCGACGCCGGCGGCTGCAGCGCCCTCGGCCGAGCTCCAGCCCTCAGGTACCCCGCTTTCCTCTCTCGCTGCGGTGGCTGCGCCTTACCGTCTGGTGACGGGCACGGGAGCCCGCCTGCGTACCCTCCGCCGCACGCTCTCCTGGACCTGCCATCAGGTGGCCCGCAACCCCCTAGACTCCCCCTTTCTGTGTACCTACTTCATCTACCTCTTCAGTCTTTTTTTTTCTCGCAGACATTTTTGTAGCTTGGGATTTTAGATTTGAATGGTGCATCTTTAATTTATTTATTCTTCTTGGCTTGGTCATTAAAACGGAGTTGGTCAGAGTTCCTTCTGGTCGGCTCGTCAGGCGCAGTATTAGCCATTTGTAACTCCTACTGTGCAGGTTTTATTAACAGATGTGGCAGTAATGTACCAGCTGTTCTATTCAAAATAACATTTAAAACTCGCAATCAGCAATGTGTTCATCTAAGTTAATTCCATCGACACTTTCCTGCCTGTTTTAATGAAGAGCCAAGCTTTGTTCTGTTGTGATTGTAACCTCCACTTTCTTATAGCTGTACCTCCTCCTGTGTGATGTGTTTCTTTTAGAGCCTGCGTTGTGATGTTTCTTTCTCTATAAGCTGTTTTGCGCCTACAGTGTCCCTTCTACTAAACCCACCATGCTGTGACAAAGTGCCTGTATCTGTACTTTTTGTGAGCTTTACCTTTCCCCTCCTATCAGAGCATCCTAAAACTGAGAGCTTGACTAGTGCTTGAATTAGTGCCTGTGATTGGTTCTCTTGTGACCCCCCCCCCCCCCCACGCCCCCCCTTCCCGACCTTCCTGTCTGCGCTGTCGTCTTGCATCCCTCGACCGATCGCCTAGAATCGTTCATCTTTGCTGAATCGTATATTATTGTAAAGTATGATCAACCAACACTAGACTGAGCTGAACAGGCTGGTAAGATTAACAAAAGAAGAGCACTATAAGTTAAAGTTAAGTTATGTTAAGGCCTGCTGCAGTTATTTACTGGACTGTAAAATCAAAAATACTGTTAGAATAACCAAACTAACACATAAGAACTAAACACATTTAGCAATCATTATTCTACAGTGTTTCTCATGTTTTAGTAATAACATAGTGTTAATAATAATTCTTATTTTAAACATTTAGGTTAGATATGCAACTATAGGAGGTATTTGTAGGATCACGGGTCAAACCTTTTTATTGAGTTCTGGTTTTAGTAGTGGGATTTATATGGGTTCATTTCTGAATTTGAGAGCAATTTAATGGCTGCTTGAATAAGTTAAGGGACAAAAAGTTTAGTATGTTGTAAAAAAACTATATTATTTACATCCATATATATATGTACACACACAGTAGATAAAGTTAGGTAAATAAATATACAGTTTAAAGATTTGCTTCTCAGGATGGGAAAAAGGCAAGGCACCAATCTGGTATTTAAGACTGTAGTATACAGAATCATTTTAGAATGTTAAACTTATGTGTGTTTGTTGATAATATTTGCTGTAGGAAAATAATCTAATGCAATAAATTCAGTTGTAGATCTGCAATCGGTGTGTCCTTGTCAGTTTGTTCTTAAAATACAAAGTAATGTGCATGAAGAGTCAGCAGTTGCATTTCCTGGATTTCTGATGGGTTTGATGCACTAGACTGTTATGTTTACATAATACATTGGATTTCTGTAGCACTTTAAAAAGGTACTCAAAAGCACTTTACGGGAAAAGATAAGATGCATAACAAAAATAATCGGAAACGAGCGTCACAGGTTAAAAGCAGAGTTAAGGATGCAGAGCGTTGTGTTGTTCACGCACATCTTCAGCGTGGTCTTTCAGTCAGCCCTGCACGGCTCCCACACCGCAGAAGTTTCTCTTCTCTCTACTGTTGCATGTAATATGATTCTCAGTTGCCTTTTTTTGTTCTCTCCTTCGTCTGCCCACCTCCCTCCCCACCTTGACCCTCATGCCATGACGCCATTTCCCCTCCGCCCTTCGCCTCCGCCAACGACCCCAGCACCGGGGGTAAACGGACTGCAGGAGCCCGGCCTGGCCAAACGTCTGCGGGGAACTCCGGAGCGCATCGAGTTGGAGAACTACCGTCTGTCCCTGCAGAGGGAGGAGGAGCTGGAGGAGGTGCCCGAGGAGACGCTGGCAGAACACAACCTCAGCAGCGTGCTGGACAAGCCCACGGATGCCGACCTGGGCTCCAGGTAAAAGCATAAGAAATGCTGATGCTTTGACAGTTGGACAAAGTCACAATAGAATCTGCATTATTCACGTCTGCATTTTCTTGAAATTAGTTATCCATTTAAGTGACAAATTATTTAGTTTTTCATGTATAAATCCATCCAGCAAGCCAACTAACTAACAATATTGAACAAAATTGAGTTGTTTTTTCTAAATAAAAAACTTACACTGAAAAGTTGTTTTAAAATAAATAAACTAGCATTAAATCATCTCTGGGAACCGTCACCTTATCGTGGTGGAGAGGTTTGTGTGTCCCTATGAACCTGAGGGCTGTGTTGTGCTCCTGGTAGGGTTACCCTTGGCAAAGTGGTCTCAGGCGAGGGGCCAGACTAAGAATGGTTCAAGACGCCATGAAAAAACGGAAGAGGGAAGGAGTTACCCAGCCCGGAGGAAGCCCGGGGCCCCCATTTGGAGCCAGGCCCAGATGGAGGGCCCGACAGCGAGCGTCTGGTGGCCGGGTTTACCGCGGAGCCCGGCCGGGCACAGCCCGAAGGAGTGACGCGGCAGCCCAACACTCTACTCCCCATGGGCTCACCACCTGTGGAGGAAACCGATGGGGTCGGGTGCGCTGCTACAAGGGTGGCAGTGACAGTGGGGGGTCTAGACGGAACAGACCTGGGCGGCAGATGCTGGCTCTGGGGACGTGGAACGTAACCTCTCTGGGGGGGAAGGAGCCGGAGCTTGTGCGGGAGGTGGAGCGTTATCAGTTGAATCTGGTGGGGCTTACCTCGGCTCTGGAACCACACTTCTGGATAGGGGGTGGACTCTATTCTACTCCGGAGTGGCCCATGGTGTGAGGCGCCAGGCGGGTGTGGGGATACTCATAAGTCCCCGGCTGAGTGCTGCTACATTGGAGTTTACCCCGGTGGACAAAAGGGTCGCCTCCCTACGCCTTCGGGTGGTGGGGGGGAAAACTCTGACTGTTGTCTGTGCATATGCACCAAACAGCAGCTCAGAGTATTCAGCCTTTTTGGAGACCCTGAATGGAGTCCTGCATGGGGCTCCAGTAGGGGACTCCATAGTCCTACTGGGAGACTTCAATGCGCACGTGGGCGACGATGGAGATAACTGGAGAGGCGTGATTGGGAGGAATGGCCTCCCTGATCTGAACCCGAGCGGGTGTTTGTTACTGGACTTCTGTGCCAGTCACGGATTGTCCATAACGAACACCATGTTCGAACATAAGGATGTTCATAAGTGTACGTGGTACCAGAGCACCCTAGGCCAAAGATCAATGATCGATTTTGTAATCGTATCGTCTGATCTGAGGCCGCATGTTCTGGACACTCGGGTAAAGAGAGGGGCAGAGCTGTCAACTGATCACCATCTGGTTGTGAGCTGGGTCAGAGGATGGGGGAAGACTCGGGACAGACCCGGTAAACCCAAGCGTGTAGTGAGGGTGAACTGGGAACGTCTGGAGGAGGCCCCGGTCCAAAAGATTTTCAACTCACACCTCCGGCAGAGCTTCTCTCACATTCCTGTGGAGGTAGGGGACATTGAACCAGAGTGGTCTATGTTCAAAACCTCCATTGCTGAAGCCGCGGCGGTGAGTTGTGGCCTCAAGGTCTTAGGTGCATCAAGGGACGGTAACCCTCGAACCCCGTGGTGGACACCGGTGGTCAGGGAAGCCGTCCGACTGAAGAAGGAGGCCTTCCGGGTTATGATATCCGGTGGGACTCCAGAGGCAGTTGCAGTGTACCGACCGGCTCGAAGGGCAGCAGCCTCTGCCGTGATGGAGGCAAAGCTGCGAGTATGGGAGGAGTTCGGGGTAACTATGGAGAAGGACTTTCGGTCGGCACCAAAGTGCTTTTGGAAGACCATCCGGCACCTCAGGAGGGGGAAACGGGGAACCATCCAAGCTGTGTACAGCAAGGATGGGACCCTGTTGACCGCGACTGAGGAGGTTATCGGGCGTTGGAAGGAACACTTTGAGGAACTCCTGAACCCAACTACTACGCCCTCTTTGGTAGAGGCGGAGCTGGAGGCGGAGGAGGGATCATCGTCAATTGGCCTGGTGGAGGTCACTGAGGTAGTCAAACAACTCCGCAGTGGCAAAGCCCCGGGAATTGATGAGATCCGTCCAGAGATGCTAAAAGCAATGGGTGTTGGGGGGTTGTCTTGGATGACACGCCTCTTCAACATTGCGTGGAAGTCTGGGACAGTGCCAAAAGAGTGGCAGATCGGGGTGGTGGTACCCCTCTTCAAAAAGGGGGACCAGAGAGTGTGTGCCAATTACAGGGGTATCACACTACTCAGCCTCCCGGGTAAAGTCTACTCTAAGGTGCTGGAAAGGAGGGTTCGGCCGATAGTCGAACCAAGGATTGAAGAGGAACAATGCGGTTTTCGTCCTGGTCGTGGAACAACGGACCAGCTCTTCACTCTTTCAGGATCATAGAGGGGGCTTGGGAGTATGCTCATCCAGTCTACATGTGTTTTGTGGACTTGGAGAAGGCGTATGACCGGGTCCCCCGAGAGATACTGTGGGAGGTGCTGCGGGAGTACGGGGTGAGGGGGTCCTTGCTTGGGGCCATCCAATCCTTGTACGCCCAAAGCGAGAGCTGTGTTCAGGTGCTCGGCAGTAAGTCGAAGGCGTTTCTGGTGGGGGTTGGCCTTCGCCAGGGCTGCGCCTTGTCACCAATCTTGTTTGTGGTTTTCATGGACAGGATATCGAGGCGTAGTCGGGGGGAGGAGGGTCTACAGTTCGGGGGGCTGCGGATCTCATCGCTGCTTTTTGCAGATAATGTGGTCCTAATGGCATCTTCCGTCTGTGACCTCCAACTCTTACTGGAGCGTTTCGCAGTCGAGTGTGAAGCGGTCGGGATGAGGATTAGCACCTCTAAATCTGAGGCCATGATTCTCAGCAGGAAACCGATGGATTGCCTACTACAGGTAGGGAATGTGTCCTTATCCCAAGTGAAGGAGTTCAAGTACCTCGGGGTCTTGTTCACGAGTGAGGGGAAGATGGAGTGCGAGTTTGGCCGGAGAATCGGAGCAGCGGGGGCGGTATTGCACTCGCTTTACCGCACCGTTGTGACGAAAAGAGAGCTGAGCCGAAAGGCAAAGCTCTCGATCTACCGGTCAATCTTCGTTCCTACCCTCACCTATGGTCAAGAAGGATGGGTCATGACCGAAAGAACTAGGTCACGGGTACAAGCGGCCGAAATGGATTTCCTCAGGAGAGTGGCTGGCGTCTCCCTTAGGGATAGGGTGAGAAGCTCAGCTATTCGCGAGGAGCTCGGAGTAGAGCCGCTGCTCCTTTGCGTCGAAAGGAGCCAGTTGAGGTGGTTTGGGCATCTGGTGAGGATGCCCCCTGGGCGCCTCCCTAGGGAGGTGTTTCAGGCACGGCCAGCTGGGAAGAGGCCCCGGGGAAGACCCAGGACTAGGTGGAGAGATTATATCTCTGCACTGGCCTGGGAACGCCTTGGGATCCCCCAGTCAGAGCTGGTAGATGTGGCCCGGGAAAGGGAAGTTTGGGGGCCTGCTGGAGCTGTTGCCCCCGCGACCCGACCCCGGATAAGCGGTTGAAAATGGATGTATGGATAAATCATAGAAAGGATATTAAATTGAAAAAATGAAATCCATTTTTGGCTTTTGCTCTTTTTTACTAACATCACATATAATTATACAATAATTGTTAATTGTGGCCATGGTTTACTTTTTGAGGCTTTAACACACGGAAGTCATTTTTCCTTGAAGGTTCTGCAAATTACAAAAATCTTCAGTAAAATAACCGGCCGGCCCGAGAGGAATCCCATACACGTCCTGTACAATAAGTCCTCCACTGACCCTGCGGCCTGTCCGTGTTTTCCCTCCTACTTGTTCTAACGCTTTGCTCCACCTGTGTTTTCCAACAGTAGCTCGGAGTCAGACATGGAGGAGGAGGACGAGCAGGAGGACCAGGATCTGGAGGAGGGGGAGCAGCAGCCTCTCAGCCCTTCGGACCTCGGAGGTGTTCCCTGGAGCGAGGCGGTAGAGCTCCGCGCTAAACTCAAAGGCAAGGAGGAGGAGGGGGAGGAGGAGGAAGAGGAGGAGGGGGGCGAGGCCCCAGCCGATGCCGCCAGCAGAGACGGGGAAGTAGATGAGGACAAAGATGACGATGAAGAGTCTAGCGATGGTAAATCAGTTTGTTTGTTTCCCCCTCCTTGGCTTTGACTTCAAGGCGGTTCCTGTAAAGATTGTAAATGCAGTTTGTCTCCATCCACCTCCTCTTCATCACGTGCCCCTAAGTCCACTGTGTTTGTGAGCGTGCACGAATGTGTGTATCTGTCTTTGTGTTTTTGTGCTGGGCCTCCGTGTCCCCTTGCCGACAGAGGGGGACTACTGCCCGTGGGATAAAGAGCTGCAGTCTGGCCTTTGGCTGGAGAAGCACCTCACAGACCAAGAGGATGTTGGTACATTTAAAGGTAGCAGCAAAACTGCCTGTGGATGCGTTTGCAGTGTCTGTGAGCGTGAAATATAATCCCCGCTGGTTTGGGTTTCCTTTTTTAAAGGATTTTTACAAAGAAGTGCTTTGTGGCTTTTTCTTTTGGTTTGTTGTTTGCTGTTTCAACGAGGACTTTGCGTTTGAAAATGGGTTTCTTTACTGTGAGACACTAACCTGTAGTATCTCGGTTTTTGTTTTTTATGGCTTCAATGCACTAACCTGAGTTCCCCCCGTAGGTGCTGCAGATATGTCTTGGCATTGAGTTGCAGCATTGTTGTTTTCAACATGTCAATATCATTTCTTTCTTTTCTTTTTGCAGTCCAGTGCATGCAGCCTCCCTTTGTGTATTTAGTGCCACTGCATTCTAACTCTCTCCCTGCCTTTTTTTTCTCTTTCCCCTCTTTGTCTTCAACTGCCTTGATTTCCCTTCATCTGCCTCTGACTTCTTGGCATCAAACACAACTCCACCGACTGCCTCGTTTAGCCCGAAACCTGCAGATCCAACAAATCCTTCAGCCGGTGGATCCGCAGGCCATTCCAGGTCTGGTGAGAACTCACCTGGACTCGCCGGCCTCGGCCTCCCAACCCTCCCAACCCTCTGAGCTCAAGCAGCCCCCCCGGACAGGTAACCCACCCAGAGGAGCTGAAGACCCCTGCTGCTGTTCCGTTTTGTGTCTCTGTGTCTGCGACGGGAGGAGCCGCCCCCCAAACTAACTCACCTGTCGTTTGTGACCATCTCTGATTTTGTCTTATTTTGTGTTCCATCTTTTAATTTGTCGTTCAGAGTTGCGGCAGTGAACCTCGTGTTTTAACCACATCCCAGTGCGCCTCATAACCCCCCTTGTCAGTTCCTTTTTGGTTTTGTTCTGCTTTGTTCTTTTGTGTTCTGGCATGTTCCTTCCCATGTGTCTAATTACTTATTATTACCGTTATTTCTACCCTTCGTTGTTGTCATCTGGTTTGAACGTAGCGCCCGCCCACACGTCCGCCCGACGCGAGGCAGTGAGGGTCTGGTTGGAGTCCATGTCTGGAGGTAGCACAGACTCATAAGGGATCACGACCTCCCGTCCTAGACCCTCCTCCTCTATCTGTCTGGCCGTTTTGTTTTTTGTTTTTTTCTTCTGGAGCATGCTGCCGACCCGCTCCGATGCCGGTGAACTCACAAGCTTGCATGACGCAAGGCTGTCGCTCTGAAGAGTCCTGCACTCTTTGGGTCTCGTTTCACCTCCCACCCTTTGTTCTTCTCCATCCAAACTTCAGAGTTCAGATATCGAGGCTGTTGAGGTGTTTTATTGAATTTTCTTTTTAAACGCTCCTCTGAATGTAATGAGAGTCCCACGCACATGTTTGAATTCATAGGCAACACTTGTACTCGGGGTTAAAAGCTGAGCAATCTCCTTGTGCTGAGACCCACTAGACACCCACACGGACAAACGCCTGTCTACTGTGATGGTTAATGTATTATTCTTAAAGTGAATAGATTATTTTCAGCCTCTCCCATCCAATTTATTTCGAATGAAGGATTATTGCTCTTCACTTAACCAATGTCTTTTTTTGGGGCTTTTGCTTGGTTCAAATGTAATCCATTTGCACATTTGAAGATGGATAGCTGCATGTATCTATAACTAATGCTGCCATGAGCCCAAACCTTTGTTCGACTGATACTGATAGTATTTCATGAGTACTTAAACTAATGTATGATTTTCTTGCCATAGAGCTTTCCTTAAAGCTGTCTTCAGAAATAAAACCAACGGAATTTGGTTTTGCAGCCATTTCATGCGTTGATTTTTTCCTATAACTGCGCTCCACTCTTAAACTCTTTTTGACAGTCTTTGAATTCCGGTTCTCTCAACAATTTTCCTAAAAAAAAATTTAAAAAAAGAATACCACTCACGCTGACTCAGCTTTTAATTGTCTTATCAGAGCCCTGTGAGGATGAAGATCTGGAAGCAGAAGCCGAGGGTCCAGACACGGAGCCGGGAACAGAGATGGATCAGGGTGAGCGCTCACACAAATAAAACCGGATCAATTCCAGTTTTGGTTCCTTTTATGATAAAAGAACAGTATAACTAACAATATAATGCACCCTAACAGTTCCATATTTCAAATTGTTATGTCTTTATTATAGATGACATCCCTTCAGATGCGGAAGCTGAGGCTCTCTTGCACCAGCCACAGCAAGTGCTTCCCGAGGACGAAGGGAAATCAGAAAGTCTTCAAGTGGCCTCCAGTATTGGTACGTGTCCCTAATGATGCTCTAAATTCACCACAAATATTTTAACATGAATAAAAGCATTACTGTTATTGTTCCACGTAGAGCCATCCAGGGACAGCCCCCTGCAGAAAGAAGAGTTTCCTCTTCCCTGGCTCAAATCTCCGGATCCTGATTCACAGGTGAGTTAATTCCACATAGAGTTTATGTGACTTTCGTTGTGATTACATCCTAATCTTCTGTTCCTTTTTCCAGATAACGGCGGTGACGTCCCCCGGCACGCGCTTCTTCCCAGAACCGTTCATACCCGAGGAAATTAAGGCTGAGAGGCGCACTCCTTCCCCTCCCTTAGCCGCCACGAGCCCGCTGTGCCCGCCCGCTGCTCCAGCCCAGGATGCCCCCTGCGTCCCGTCTCCTCCCGCTGCCTCGCCGCCCCCAAGTCCTCTCACCAGATCACCGATCGGCCCTCCGGCCAGCGAGTCCCCCGTCTGCTCCCCGATCCGCACTCAGCCCGCCGCCGCGCCGGAGACCCGCGCGCCTGCTGCATCTCCCGTCTATCCCCACCGCTCCATTTGCCCCCTCACGGGCAACCCCCTGTCCCCGATCTGCGCTCAGCCGTTGCCCTGCCAGGAACCCTCGTCGCCCCTCGCCTCCGACTCCCCCGTCAGAACTCAGCCCGCCCCCGCCGTCACCTCCACCCCCTTGGCCAAGACGGACAGGCGCTCGCCCGAGCCGTCGAAGTCAATGGATTCCTCCGCAGAGGAGACGCCGTCTAAAAAGACGGATATCATCGAGGAGTTTTGGATGAAGAGTGCCGAGATCCGGAAGAGCCTCGGCCTGACGCCGCTGGACCGCAGCAGTAAAATCCTGGAGAAGAGCGTGCTTATCGCTCCCGCGCAGGACTCCGCGCCCGTTAAGGCCCCCGACGTGACAGAGGAACAGAAGCCCCCCTTCGCTGGCCGAGCCGTCATCCGCAGACTCAACATCACCCTCGAGGGTCAGGTCATCACCCCCATTGCTCCCGCGGAGCCCAAGAGCAACGGCTCGGACCGGAGAGACGCCAGCAGCAGCTCCGGCTTGGGCCTGAACGGGAGCATGGCCACCAGCCACACGGCAAACAGCGAGGGCTTCAACACGTCGGACTCCGTCATGCTCACCCCACCCTCCAGCCCGCCACCCCCCGTGCCCGCTAACCAGTCTCCAGCCGTGTTCCGGCAGCAGAGGAACCAAGTGTCCTGGAGCAACGGAACAGGAAAGCCTCCGCCTGAGCCGGCGAAGGCCAAGAGCCCCGTTCCCGCACCGAGGACCCACCCGAGCCCCACGTCTGCACCCGTGCCCGCGCCCAGGAAGGTGTCCTCGCCGCCGCCGGTGGCACCACAAGCGTCTCCGGTGGCGGTCGTGATGAGGGAGAAGAAGAAGCAGCCCCGTCCGCAGGAGGCGAGGAAGTCCTTCGTGGAGACGGTGGAGGAGATTCCGTTCGCTGACGACGTGGAGGAGTCCTACGACGAGAGGACGCCGGAAACCAGCATGAGCCGGTACTACACTCCCCCCACCAGCAAGCCCAGCAGGGAAAGACCTCCGCTGCATCTGGCCCTGGCGATGGAAAACGGTAAACCCAATTTCCCCGTCAACCAAGCGCTCAAGAACCAGCGGGCGACGCAGTTCTCCCCGGAGGCCAAGGAGATCGCAGAGGAGAGGATGAAGGCCCGAGAGAAGTCCGTGAAGAGCCAAGCTCTGAAAGACGCCATGGCCAAGCAGCTGAATAAAATGAAAGAGTCCGACGCGGACAAGGGCGCCTCCCCCAAAGTGGCGTGGAGCGTGACCGCGGACGTCGCCGCCAAAAGCAAAAAGTCGCCCGCGTCGCCAAAGTCCTCGGGCGTGAAAGCCCTGGAGTCGAAGAAGGCGGAGACTCTGCCCGAGCGCTTCTTCAACAGCAACAAGAGCCTGGACAGCTCGGCGGCCTCGTCGGACGGCTCCTCCTCCGCCAGCAAGAGCAAGAAGCGGAGTTCCCTCTTCTCGCCGCGCAAGAACAAGAAGGAGAAGAAAGCCAAGAACGACGGCGGCAGGCTCTCCGAGGCGGACGAGACTCCGCCCAAGCACAAGTCGCTGTGGAAGGCGGTCTTCTCGGGCTACAAGAAGGACAAAAAGAAGAAGAAGAAGGAGGATAAATCTTGTCCGAGCACGCCGTCCTCGAGCTCCACCACTCAGGACTCTGGGAAGAAGAAAGCGTCGCCTCTGGCGAGATCATCCGGTACGAAAAGGTTGTTCGGTTTAGTCAATGTGACGCCGGTTCGGAGTATGTTTTACAGCCTCGTTTGCTTGTTACAGACCTGAAATCACGCAGGAACTTGAGCTTCTCCGAGGAGTCGGACCTGTCCTGCGACGACGTTCTGGAGAGGTCCTCCCAGAAGTCAAAGGCAGACGTGAGTAATAATGGACGAGTTAACACATGTTGCATCATCACCATGACACATCGAGCCCAGCTCGCCTCCACCCGAGACGCCTCCGTCTGCAAAGCATCTGCCCGCTATCAGTGGAGACCAGCTGCTCAGAGCCGCTCAGCTCAACTCCAGGGGCGCGGAGATTGTGAACATCTGTGGAAGTTTAGGTTCTGGTTGTTGTAGATATTCCCGATCCTATTGAGCGACGGAGGACGTTTGGGGCTTATCGAGCGTAGACATCTATTGCATCCTCTGCTGTTTAACTTCCTTCTTGAAAATCATATTTTTCTTTCAATGATTTCTTCCCCTGCCAGCAACACTTGGACATCTTTGACCTTGTGTCAGGTCTGCAGAAGGAAGCGTTTAAGGAGGAGAAACTGCAGAAGGAGAGAAGGAGGGAGTTAAAGGAAAGAAAGCGGTTGAAAGAGAGTCATAATAAAAGAGAGCGGGAGAAAGAGGTTGACCGAGAAAAAGAGAAGGACAATGAAGAGGTATTGTGCAGAGATGGGTTAAAGGATTTTGAATTTCTTCCAAACATAGTTCTGTAAAGAGGCAAATCTATTATATTTTACAGTGTAAAGTACACAAAGCTGTTGAGGCATTTTATTGATTTCGTTCAATAAAATACCTCAACATCTGGTTTATTACTCGCCTCAAATTATTCCTCAGTACTTCATACAATCCTTGTTTACATTCTCTAAAAAAAATGCAGCCCCACAATATACTTGTTCACGTCATCATCAACCAAATTACTAAATGAGGAAATTATTCCAAAGATTGGATTCATTAAATATGGACATGGCATATTAGGACTAATCAGAAATTCAGCATTTCTATAATTTCCATCCTAAGAGTTCCTACATGAATCCATTTGCCTTCATTATGTGAGAGTGCAATTCAAAATGTTTGCCTCCACTGCAGCTCAGTGTGTGTGTGTGTGTGTGTGTGTGTGTGTGTGTGTGTGTGTGTGTGTGTGTGTGTGTGTGTGTGTGTGTGTGTGTGTGTGTCTGGTGGTTTAGATCGGTGCTGTCGGGTTCAGGGCCAGAGGCATGACTTCATCAACCGTAAACACATTTAAGAAAAAAGAGTTTACATTCAGTTGTTTTTCTACTAATATTGATCTGAATTTGGACCGTACGCAGCTCCGGGGGGTCAAAGCTGCGTCGTGCCTCATGCGGCCTCAGAGAGCCCGCTGGAATCAAGTAGACGCGTCTCGTGTGACCGTTCAGCTCTGTAGATCCGTGAGTGCATTAGATGTATCGCCTTAGAGACAATAACCAACTGTCCGTCTGCTCTGTGTTAGAATCGGAAAAGTCTGTTTTTCTTACAATATGTTTTACAATTGACTCATTTCTGATTAACATGGATGTATAAAATGTCACTGCACTGTGCCATTTTGTGTGTTGGTGTGGGATATTAACATTGCACCAGCTTAAATTATCATATTTTATGTTTAGTTTGTTTGTTTGTTTTTATTTTTTACCAATTCAACATAATCATTAACCCATTTAATCATCATCGTTTCCTCCCTTTTTTGTTTTGTCTTCCCCAAGTCTGTATATGTCCCTCACGCACTGGCGTTCAAGAGATCGTACGCCACAAAGGTAGTATTACATACGTTCCCATCGATAACACCCCCCCCGCCCTCCCCCGAGCCCTCAGCGCATGTGCCGGTCTACTGTCATAACACCTCGTGCTCTTTGTATGCATGTGGCAGTCGCACCCTCACTGCTGCACATCCGCTCTGTTAAAACGCGACTCTTCCAATTAGCGTTCGCTTCTCCGGCCACAACGGCGCCTCCTGGGTCTCTCGATACGAGGGTCCGTTCCTCTCTGACCGGGACGATATTAACCTGCCTCTATCTGCCACTGCGGCACTGTCGCTCCCGCCTGGATACATACAGGAATAGCTGTGACCTTTTTCCTCGCAGCGCTGTTCTCTCTTTCTCTCAACTCGCGGCGGCTTTTTATGTCCTCACCACTCCGCTAATGGCTTTTTCACCTGCTGTGTCATCAACTTGATAATAAGTGTTGTATGTAGATCCTGTGGAGTGAAGTCTGAAATATCCAGAGCTAGATTTTTTTTGTTGTCCCTCGCCTTCTGCAAGATGTAGTCAGTTCCCCCCCCCCCCCCCCCCCTCCCTCTCCTTCTCTCTGAGGGGCCAGGGCCCCGTGGACTCCGCGCCTTATAGAAGTAGCTTGTGCGTGAGACTTTAATGACCCGATTTGTTTTTGTTGTTATTGCACCAGAAAACCTACACAGAGGAAGAGCTAAATGCCAAGCTGACACGGAGGGTCCAGAAAGCTGCACGACGGCAAGCAAAGCAGGAGGAACTCAAGAGGCTGCACCGAGCCCAGGTAACTGACCCGTGCTGACCTTTGCTCCATCGCCTCTGAGCGGTGGACATTCCTCGCAGCGCCTATCGAGTGTACTGACTTTCCTCTGGATGAATAATCCTCTAAATTTTCCTCATTTAGCTCCATCGTCACGTCAAAGGTTCCGTGTACGTAGTGTTTGCCTCATGCTGGACTCAGGCTGCAAAGTTATTTTTTTAATCTTTTTTTTTTTTTACAGGTAGTCAGTATTGTCCTGTAGTTGTGTTTTTGTTTTATGTACACTATTAGGGAATATATTTTATTGTCCAACTGCCTCTGTGGATTCCAAAATCTACCACTCACTCATTAGATCACCGTGTTTTCTTTCTCTAGCAAACCGCTCGCGAGTTTCACCTGCATTTTGGATGGTGGCTGGTTCTTATTTCTGACACGGTCTTAAATTTCAGTCACTTTTAGACTTTGGGTGTTAAATTCACTGTCATTGACGTTGAAACTCAGCACTGAGGTTTCCAGTCCACCGGCGCGGCGCTAAGCTGCAGCTTAAGCCTTCCTCTGGAAGCTGCGGTTAGTCCGTCAAGTCAAACACAAGGGGCGGAGAGAGAGAGAGAGAGAGAGAGAGAGTGTGTGTGTGAGTGTGGGCTGAACGGGGGAGAACTATGAAATATGAACCGTTTTCGGTGAAATCCATGAAATATTTGCCCTGTGTGCTCGTAGACTTTAATTAGCAGCCCTCCCACTGTGCCCCCATACGGTTATTTTTAATGAGGCTAAACTGTTGCATTAGTGAACCTCTGTGGACGCCTCCCTTCCAAACTTTAAACTCACGCATAAAAGTTGTGATTAGTGGTAGAAATTATTCTGTGCAGCCATGAACGATAACTCGTAATGTACTGTGTTTATGCATTTTGTTAACAACACGACTCCTTTGTCCGTTCAGATCATCCAGAGACAGCTGGAGCAGGTGGAGGAGAAGCAGAGGCAGCTGGAGGAGAGGGGCGTAGCTGTGGAGAAAGCCTTGAGAGGGGAAGCAGGTAACAAATTATTCATTCTGCACCTCTATAAGTGTCGGAGATAACTTCTATTATTGGACAGAATTTAAATAATTTTAATGAAAGGTAAACTTTCCCCAAGTGGGGAAGAGTGCCACTGTGCACAAATGCCCCACATGCAGTAAACCAAAGGGTGGAGTAACTTTAATTCAGAGAAAAACAAATGATATTTACATTTTTATGAGTGGTTTAGCGATCATTACATTACATTACATTACAGGTCATTTAGCAGACGCTTTTATCCAAAGCGACTTACATTACACTTTAAACCCATGGCTTTTTCACATTTTTGCCTGGGGAGCAATTAGGGGTTAGGAGTCTTGCTCAGGGACACTTCGACATAGAACATGGGGCAGCCTGGACTCGAACCACCAACCTTGTGCTTCCCAGCACTCCTTCTCTAACCCCTGCGCCACGATCACCCAATGATGTAAGGCAATTAAATCTCTTTGCATCATTGCTGACACGAGAGGTATATTTTATCTTTACGTGTTGAGTTCTGCCTCTTTCTAGAGCTCCACGGGGAACAATAATAACAACGATGATTGGGATGATCACTAAGAGCAGTAACTCAGAAAAGCCGTCCCCCTGCAATCATTTCCACTGCGTTGAGCTCAGTCTGCCTCTCTGCTGTTTCTGCAGCCGCACTGAAGACGTGTCGGCACGTAGATCTGTGTGGAGCAGAAAGACGTTTGCTGCTCCAACGTAATGAGCCAGAATGTATCTGAATAAGGGACTATCACAGACAATGTATTTCCGAGAATACAATTATGTGTTTATAGTGCAATAATAATACATCACGTCAGCTTTGTATGTGAGGAAGACGCTGAGGTTGTCCTCTTTATAGAGGTTACAGTTTATTCCATCCTTATTTACTCAATGATGATGGTAGCATAAACTTTTATCATGCAAATGATTGCACGTTTCTTAAATTCAGCCAATTTTCCAGAGCAACAAAATAACTTTTTTGCTTTTACTACTCTACTACTCTACTCTCTTAAAGGATTGTATAAAGGTACTTATACATTACCCAAACAGCACAAAAGAAGATCAGGTATTAGATTTACCGCAGTTTCCTCTTTATTTTTATTTAATGACATGTGGCACTGTAATATAGGCTCCATCTGTGGTGACACGCTGCAACATTTCTCCCATCTCCGAACATGTTGACCTGCTGTTCGTTCATCACGTGTCCGCCATCGTCGGTCTGAGCCGCATGCGATCAGGAGAATTTGTGTCCCGGCATAGATTTGTGTTTGCTCATTCTGGATGTGTTTGTGTCTCCCGTCACGACGAGGAGAGGATCACGTTGCATTTGATGAATACAATCAGAATGCGAGAAGCCAATTGGTTTTCGCGGCAGACAACTTTATTGCGGTATTTTCTGCAAACGTTTGCCGTCGCTGATTGATACAAATTAGCTTTTTTTTTTGTTTAATGTGCTGAGTAACGGAAATCCAGAGTTGTTTGTGACTCTGTCTGTTGCACTCAAAGCTCGCACTTATCACGCAGCTGCTCTTTCAGTCCGACCTGATTAAATCATTGAATGTTTTTAATTGAACGTTTGTTTGTGCACATGGACTGGATAGTACGTAGCTGTTTGCACTACTGCTCTGTCAAATTTAAATGCAGGCAATACAAAGATAATAATTACTCGGCACATTACTAGAGGCTTTGTGTGATATTTAGCAGACTGAGTCAGAAAACAGCAACACAGCAAATCTATGTTGCAGCCTCTTGTTATTTATTGAAAGAAAAGCCATATGCTCAGCCTGACTGCATTTTGCACTGTGGTGAGTACTGATGGACTGTCTTTGTTCCAAGTGTGCCGTCTGTGTGTGTGTGTGTGTGTGTGTGTGTGTGTGTGTGTGTGTGTGTGTGTGTGTGTGTGTGTGTGTGTATAAGAACTATTTGCAAGAAAATGCATGACTTGCTGTTGGAGGATTTTGTGCGCCGAGTTTGGGGCTGTATGAAATAACTCTTAATATATCCCTGTCATTGTAGACTATTGGGGAGATTCTAATTACAGTGAAATCCTGGACTTGCATCTGGGCGGTATGTATTTCAAATCTGTCGCTTTCAAACTAACCCAATGGCTAACCCATCTGTCCTCCTGCCCCCTTTTGATTCTTTACTACTTAAGCTTTGTACCCCTCATATCTACCTTGATTAGCTGACTGGCAGGCTATTAGCCCCATTGCAATGCTGCTATAACCCCCCCTCCCTCTCTCCCTCCTTACTCCCCCCCACACTGACCCTCTTTACATCAAACAAAGATTAGACACTTGGCCTCATGCTGTCCTCCTTAGATTGCCTTTGATCTCTATAAACTCAATAAATGATAACTGAATTAACAAGTAAGTTTAATTTGACTCCTTGGCGCGGAGACTTCATGATGAAGACAGCGACATATTGCAGCAACAGATATACAAGTAGCAATATAAATTCATGTTGCATTCATAGAAGCGCTGCTTCTATGAATGCAACGGTGATTCTGGCTGGACTGGCTGCTGGACTTGTCTGGGGACAATTGTCTGGGGACAAGTCCAGCAGCGGGGAAGAAAAAATAAATAATGCACTGACAGAATTGCCTGTGGAATTTTATAGTGCATACAGACATGCTCTTTAAAGATGACCTTCTCTGCATATTCATTAAAAATATTGTGCTTGTGATTCCCCCCCTCCCCCCCCCCATGGTTCACTGCTTGAGGGTCACAATAGCGCCTAGAAGTGTAAATTAGGATTTAAAGCTTAAAGATGCTGATATTCTATATTTTCTTATCGCCAGGGAAACCCACAAAAGAAAAAGGAATGTGGATTTTTTACCAGCCAGTGGTTGTGCAAATCAATCTCAGTTGTTGCCCAAAATCTAATAAAAAACACATCAACTTGGCACAATGGGAAATCATTTTGTCATTTATTTTGATTCAATCACACACTCTATTGCCATACACTAGTGCAACAAATAGGTGAAATTCCACAGCTGAGAATATTCCTCAAAATGTTCTCTGCTGTTAGTTTTAGTCATTGTTCTACGCACTTTTAGTCTCTCCCGCACACACACACCACAACAGTGAAAGTGATCACATATATTACATATAACCTGTCACATACTAATCTGCTGGCACGGCTGTAATCTTCCCTCGGAGCTCTGTGCCGCTGAACCTCAGTCCTGTAGTCCCAGTAAATGCTCTCCTGACTTTCTCATACCTGCTCAGTTGCATATCTCCCCAAGTGTGTGTGTGTGTGTGTGTGTGTGTGTGTGTGTGTGTGTGTGTGTGTGTGTGTGTGTGTGTAGTTTAATTGTGGTTTGTGCTAATAGACAATGTTCCAACCTTTGACCCGTAGCGGCCGTGGGCCAATAACACTGTGTTCACTGTGTCTGGAAGAGAAATCCCGTGTTGGCTGTGGTCTTCTCCTGCAGACTGTTGCCTTGTTTGAATATGAGTACAATGCATTCTTTTCTCCACGTGTGTACAGCAAAAACAGCAGTGCTTTGTTTGCTTAATAGTTATTAACTGTCAGTGAGGAGGATCCAAGCAGAGGTTTAAATGAGGTGCATTTTCCCATATTGGAGCAAGGATTGTGCTTTTTGACCTGCTGGTTGATCCCACTAATTAGACAAGGAGATTGCGTGGAGTTTTACACAAAGGTGAACAAATCTACAACATGCACACGTGTGTGTATGTGTGTGTGTGTGTGTGTGTGTGTGTGTGTGTGTGTGTGTGTGTGTGTGCTTGCGCATCGGGGCAGAACTCCACTGCGTTTAAGAATAGTTATTAAATAAGAAGATCTAGACCTGTTCTATAGGAAGGGGAAAGGTAATGCAATCAAACAAAATGAGCTTGACATGGCGAGGTGGGGGTTCGAGTGACTCGTGGAGTCCTAAAGAATTATTTCCACTCTTCTCTGTGATGGTCCCTTCCAGTGATGATGTGGCATTTTTCACTCTCCTGGCTCTTTTTCCCACCACGACAACATTGTGTGTGCCTCTTATTCCTCTTACTCTCATTCTATACCCTTTATTTTGGAGGGTTCATGGAGGTAGGACCACACTTTGTCGGGAAATTTAGTTTAATGGACGAATATTCGAAAAAGCCCTGATTCGCACTTTAATAGTAGTGTGTTTACGGGAAGCAACTGAAACATCTTTTAAGAAGAAGCCATTATCTGTGAATGGCGCGTATCTCTCGGTGATCAGTAGCAGCTTTGATAATGGGATGAACTACTTCTGTGTGCTGTTGTTAAACAATGGCTATAAAGGTAGTGTTAGATTATCTGAAGAAACGGTGATTCTTTTTTCCATTTCTGTGCACGACTTGTTCTGTCTTCTCTTGTTTCTGTTTCTTATTATTACCTATTTCTGTCATCCGTCACATCCCCCAGCTGCTCTCTGTGGGTGGTTCTTCCTCCCTATCACAGTGCTCCTGCCCTCTTTTGATTTTCTCCTCAATTTTCTTTCTCCCTAATCACTCCCCCCCCCCCTCCCCTCCTCTCCCACCTATGCTCTGTGCATTGTTTTCCCCTCTGTGATGTCTGCGCTCTCCCTCCTGCATTATTTCCACCCCCTCTACGTCCTTTCCCTCGGAAGTTGAGCCCTTTGTGGGGACGTCACGCCGAAGACCCCTCTCCTTCTGCCCCTGCTGGTCCGACGGTTGTGGCGGGTTACCATGGCAACTGCGAGGATCTCGGAAACGGGGGCAACCCCGTTGATCCCCTTCCCGTCCTCCCCACATCTGCTGCTCCTCCTCTTCCTGTTTGTTTGATCAGGCTCGTATTGAGGCAATTGATTTTTCTTATCGTATGTTTAGATTGTACATAGTGCACAAATAGTATTCTCATCCAACTGTACGAGAATAATAATAATATAATAAAGCACAATAGCAAAAAAGATTTTCTCTACCTCCATCCAGCTGGATTCACTTAAATGGGAAAAACACTCTGCTGTGTTGTGTCTGATAAACAGCATGTGGTCTGTTTTCTGTTTAGCTAAAATGAATCTGGAGGCTGCATGGTCCTTTTAAAGGAAATATCCCATTTAAAAAAAAGAGGTTATATGCATTCATGTACTCCTAAAATTATTAAAACCAGCCAATAATGGCTCGTACCGTTCCAGTATCTAACACCTGTTGGTGCATTTTGCCTGAGCTTCTAATCCGCGTACATTGGTTTGTTTTGTTCCTTTGTTGTTGTTTGCGGCCTTGTACGGGCGTCTCTCCTTTGGTGTTGGGAGCGTTGGGACGAGGGCTCGGGGATGGTGGGGGAAAAAGTCAAAATAGTTCAAGAGACACAGAATATAATCTATTTGTAAAATAGGTTTCCCGAAACCCGCGCGCTGCATCCCTCTCCAGCGGGAGCAGCTCTTCTCCGCTTCGCTCCTGCCCGTCCCTTGTCTGCTAATTAGCGGAAGCGAGCCGCGGCGTTCCTCCTCTCCTCGGTCTGAGCGCGCAGCGCTGCACCGCGGTTTGCCGTCCGCTGTTACATTGAAGCGGCTTGGCTCCGTCGGAGGGTTGTCACGTAGACCGGACCGCTCTGCTCTCTGACTGGATGTGCCAATTATGAAAACCGCAACGATAACGCTCTCCCATAATTAAAGCGATCTGCATGAATGGGGTGTAAAAGGATTTCAATTTTTCCTGATGTGTGATTCTTTGCTACCAGTCGGTGTGTTTTCACTTACTAACCACAAAAAAGTAGGTATTTTGCAGTCCGAACTGGGTGACGCAATCTGTCAACCTTGTTAATACCTCTCCATCTGTTTGTGCGTGTGGTTTGTGCGTGTGCGTGTGTGCACTTACCAGAGTTGGGACCTGTGTGTGTAGCTCCACGCCATCTTCTGTGCACCACCTCTAAGGATTGTACGACCGTCGAGTCGATCCTTCCCCCCTCGGCCTCCCTGAGCGAGGACATCCTGGCTCGGCCTGTGGCGCCGTTGCCCGTGTCGGTCCTCGCGCCTGCGTGACATTAGTTTCGTCTCCCAGCCGCCGGGTGCCTTACTCCCACTCTGTGCTTCCTCCTCCCCTGCAGGCATGGGCAAGAAGGACGACCCCAAGCTGATGCAAGAGTGGTTCAAGCTGGTGCAGGAGAAGAATGCTCTGGTCCGCTATGAGTCCGAACTCATGATATTGTAAGTACATTTCTCCAATGTTGAGACAGACTGATCGATGAGTGAGTTGTCAGAGGTTTTTTTTTTTTTCCAAAGCTGTATGTTATTGGTGGCTACTGTTGTAGTAACCGAGCACAGTCTTCTGTGTTTTGATATGAGGATATCAAAAGTATGCGGCCGTTTGTTAACTTTGATCACTATGGTCAAACTAACCTGTACCGTATCAGATGTCATTGTTCATCCCATTCATGTTAAGTCATGAGGATTGATTTGCGGGATCGGGATCGTCTGCAAAGCGAATAACTTACCAATGAACAATGGTCTCATCCTAAAAAAATGCAATGCATGCTATAAACGTGATGAGGATATAATACTCCATAATTTAAATACATTGCAATTATAACCTAAAACAGTGCAAACAGAGAGGATGATATACTGTCTTTTATTTTTCTTATTCTTATTATTATTACATGATGAGATTGTTCGCCTTAATAATGGGATACTCATTGTTCCCAATCCCAACATATGTGATCATATTTGCAATTCAATAGAAAAACACCATCATCACTCTTGACAAGTGATTAAATCAACAGCAGACATTTTTTAAAGCGGATGATTCATCTGTGAAACATTTCGCTCATTTTGTTCTATCCGTCCCCAAGTGCCAGAGAGTTGGAGCTGGAGGACCGACAGAGCCGACTGCAGCAGGAGCTCAGGGAGCGGATGGCCGTGGAAGGTGAACGCAGGCGTGTTGACTAACGACTGCTGAGTGGAGTATTTAGACCCGCGTAATGTTTTCTTGCCGTCTTTAACCCCTCGTTCCTCCCCGTCCACGTTTCTCAGACAACCTGAAAACGGAGAAGGAGCTCGGTCAGGAGAAGCAGATCTTGAACGAGATGCTGGAGGTGGTGGAGCAGCGGGACGCGCTGGTGGCCCTCCTGGATGAGCAGAGGCTTCGGGAGAAGGAGGAGGACAAGGATCTGGAGGGCGTCATGCTCTCCAAAGGCTTCAACCTCAACTGGGTTTGAGAGGAGTGAAATAATTTCATCCAGCTCATCAGGTCCTGGGGGGGGGGCTTGTGATAGAGGTTCTCTGAACACCTGCAGCAGTGAACGCGGGTCATGGTTCCCCCTCACGCTCGCATACATGGACGCTGCGCTCCGCCTCTGGAACCGACGCAGTCCGCGATGTTTACCCAAAGCGGTCCCAGTTAATCACTTTGCTTTTCCTCCCTGGAGAGGCGAGCACGTTCACAGCTTTATCGTCCCAGCCTTGAGGTGGATCCTCTCCAACGCAGAGGGGCTTTTAAAGAGACTTGTTCCATTCTCGGTTATCTAAAAGGGAAGAATGCAGTTCGGTCCTGCTGATGTAAAGAATTGTGTTTTTGTGTATAGAACAAGTTGCATTTTTCGGGCGTATGAGGGTCCATTATTTTTCTGGGGGGGAAAAAGGGGACGGCTGCAGAGGTGTGTTTTTAACTGCTGGAGTGATCTCAGATTATCGGTCTGACTGTGGGACAAACATCCTCTGCTGAAGCTGCCTTTCTATCCAGTGACTGACTTCTGCATCCTTACGATACACAACACACATTTACCCATCGGGGAGTAATAAAATATCATCTTATGAACCATAAATACACCACGAAAGGCTCAGTTCTTCCCCCTCACGGTTTTGTTTTCGCGAGTCAACACTAAAACTCCATTTAACATGGCCATGGTTTTTCTATGTATTTATTACCTCTGTTTGCTTTTAACAGATAATCATTTTAGTTGTGTCTGCGTTCACAGGAGAGTGCCCTGAATCCCCCCCCCCCGTGCATGATAAAGAATCACCCGTAAGCCATTGCATGTCAGGAATGAAGGCTGCAGGCACACAGAATGACTTTACCGTGTCTTTTTACATGGAGGACATATAATGCTATGCTGCTTACACATTTCACGTGACTGGATAATGATGAGTCTCTCCTTTGACATGTTCACTGTTCACTCTATATCACACTGACCGCTGACGTTTACAACTAATGGTCCATCGCGGCGATTGGACCTTTACGATTCGTACAATGGTAAACCGTAGCGGCGTAAAAACAAACCGTTCAATGGATTTACCTTTTTTGAAGGAACCGTGTCCCCGAGTTCAGATTGTGTTTCCCCACCGTGTGCGTCAGCGTTGGAATGTCGTGAATATAGCCGATGTCACTGTTAATGTGAGATCAGCGTGGGTCACATTACTCGTTTCGCGCCACAGGGCTTTCTCTGCTGGTTTTATATTCTGCAGTATGTGACGAGTGCGCCACACACCACTTTTATCATCAAACAGCAGTGTTAATACTTTATCCTTGAACAAGTTGCCTTTTGGATTTTCATTCTTTATAGTGATGCTTTGTTTTATTTTTCTGAATTGACTTGCTTTTTGACGTAGTCACGTGTGTGTGTGTGTGTGTGTGTGTGTGTGTGTGTGTGTGTGTGTGTGTGTGTGTGTGTGTGTATCCCACTGGAACTCGAGATTTCTACTTGTCTTTTATTTTTTTGTACAGCGGGACCCCAAACAGATGGATGAATTTAAATGGGGCCGTTGAAGAAAAGCAAAGTGCTTCACGAGCAACTGGCCGCAAGCAGGAACATTACGGTTCACCTGATGGTTATTCAAATCTAACCGCCTTTTTCACAAACGCAGGTGGTCACCGTTTTACAGCACAGAAACACGAGAGGCTATATTTATGACTTGGTATTACATGTGAATAAAACAAAGCGATATCATTTCAAGGGTTGTTGCTTTAGATGACGTGTGGCAAGTTTGACTCGATTGTATTGATATTTATTAACGTGTGCAAACTGTATCATATGTAAAGAAGATGAATCCTAATTTTTAAACTGTTCAGTTGAGTTATGACTTGTAATGTAAGTGCTTCATGTAGCTAAATGCATAGGGGTGTTGGATGTATGCTGAAAATGGCAATAAAACAATGCAGTTCTTTTAAAAGGCTCTCTTTACATCCCTTGTGGCTAAATTCTGTTAATTTCAACAAAGAATGTGATGTACATACTTCAGCAATGAGATTAATAGTAAACCCAAATGTGTATAGGTGGATTTAAGTAAAGCATTCAGAGTTAACATGGTTTTTGAAAGTGTTTTCACAATTAGTTATTATAAGATAGTTACATAATAAAAACGCATACAGAAGTATTGAAAACACATGAAGTATCAATGCAAATAAAACATTTTTAGAAATAATGCAATATCCCTTCAACATTGAAAAAGTAGTTTGACATCAGAATTGGAATGAAAGTAACAATGAAATGAGCAAAGCTGCAAATAAAAATGTACAATATAAATGTGTGAGCTGCTCTCTTTATGTTAAGACTCCCGACCTGGACAATTTGCATCGCCCCAAAATCACAATCATGATGTTTGACACGAAGGGGGAAGGAAGCAACCATCAGAATCCCCTCGGGTCAGGACTGCTGCAGTTTGCACCATTAACGCTGTTAGCATCGTTAGCGCTGTTAGCTGCCCGATCAGCTGATCTCGGTTTACACCCGTTTCGAGGCAATTGCAAATGCCCCCTTGCACCCGTCTTTTGCCGTTCTCCTCACTACTACGAACAAAAATGCACAGGTTACAACGTGTATTATTACCGTAACTAAAGTACCGATTGTAATCGATTTGTATTCCATGCACTTATTTTGAAAGCGAGACACTGGAATTGACTTCCGGTCATGTGTGCGTAAATCTTACGTGACGAAGCTGCAGAGAAGAGTTGACAGAACTTGTTGAACCTTTTGGAAAAGTTAATCCGTCACAAATATGTTGGCATCGAGTTTCAGAGACTGTAAGGTTGGTGGTTTGCATTATAAACGTCACGCAGTTTAGCGGAGAAAAGAGCGACATTCACTGTAAATCCATGTTCTTAGGAAACTACAACAAACATGGCTTCGTCTTCGGAATAAATGGGGAAAATATAGTTTACATAAGATTCATGAGGATTAAATACAATGCAATGTTGATTGGGCTGGATCGATCTTTCACTGAAGATCGGTGACGTAAAAAGGTGCAACGCGGTGACATGAAGTCACTGTGTCGGACCCCCTGTGCAGGTGTGAGGGGGGACAGTCCTCGCACCTGCAACTTGTGCTGTCTCTCCCCCTCTCGCAGGCCTGGAGTGCAGAAGGTCTCCCCCTGTCCACCAGCAGCAATGAGGCTTGCAAACTCTATGACGCCATACTCACTCAGGTAACGCGCACCTGCAGGGAAGATGTCTGCAGACACGTTTACAGTTCGTAACGTGTGTTTTTGTTCGTCTCCTAGTATGTCAAGTGGCAGAATGATGAAAACGTGGGAGGATTTGAAGGAAGCATTTCTGCTATTCAGGCAGCTGACCCCAACTTTGGTAAAGAGATAGCTTATTATTATTTTTCAACCTTTTTCAACATTATTTGAAACAACATATTAAAAGCGGATACGAAAACTAAGAAGGGATGAAAGTAACCGGCGCTAAATATATCTGCTGCTGAAATAGTCAATAGTAATTCAAAATAACTGTGACTGAGACTTTAAGCAAACATTGAGATAAATAGCATACTTGTTCGGCTAAACAAGCACTTTCTAAAAAGACCTTTGGACACGTCATAAAACGCGAGTGCACGTATTGCACAGTCACACTTCATAAGCACTGAAAACTGCAATGGCCTTGGAGGTGAACCAGTTCCATTAACCCTGGTGTTTTATATTTTGCACAGTGAAATGACTAAATGAATGCATTTATTTAGTGGAGACCTTTGCGTTTCCATGACAGGTCAAAATGTCTGTCGTACCTCTGATATGATGACACCTTTGACATTTAGCGATGACTTACCGTGCTGTCATTTATTTAGCTACGGCATTAACCCGTTGACCTCGAGAAGTAGGTGTCGATCAGTAGCCGTCTCTCAAACAAAGCAGTTGCGTGACCTTTTTAATCAACGCTCTAGATGCCCCCTTTTATCGCCGTGGGTCTGAGCTCTCATCCGCCCTTTTTAAATGTTTCATCGTGGTTCATGCAAATGAATCAAGCTGCTGTTGTGCAGGTCCAACAGTTATTGAAGCTACGGTGAACCTGCATAGAGAACATTGTTAAGATCCAAAACTAAGCGCATGTCAAACCATAATTGGAATAGTTAACTTTCCAACCACACTAATCTTAAGTGTGGTTGTTGGGCAGTTATTTGTTTAGATAGTTTAACCGGTGTAAATAGAGTAAACAACGGTTTATTCAGATTTATTGTCCATGTCTTTTTGCCCCGTACTGGGTATCGAGGGGTTTCCTTCTATGGTATCAGCCTTTAAAATCATCAACTAGTCAATATTTGGCTGATTGTCAAATCTTTACTTTCGATATAAAGTGATGTTACTTTAAGTGAAGAGTAAAAAATGTACCAGCAGGCGGTTTTCATCACGTGGACGGGAAAGACCTCTCTGCTCTCCGTTTTTTCCCCCGCAGTCATGGGTCATGTGATCAGTACGGGGCTGGAGCTGGTGTCGACGGTGAGCTCCACTCGTCTGAATCAGCGGTTGGCCGGCGCTGTGAGGCGAACCGTGGAGCTGGCCGACAGCCAGGCCCTCTCCTCCAGAGAGCGGCTCCATGTGCCAAGTGTCCTCGGGAAATAACGCCCCCACCCGAGGGACGCAAAAGAATTTCAACATTTCTTCAGTTCCAATATGGGATCCCAACATTCCTTGTTGTCTTCTACGGGCTTTTAATTAAATAAATTGAATTCTACCCTTTACATGTAAAAAAACATTTTTTCATCAACATAGTGTTTGTTACTTGTCTTTGAGAGAAATTATTGCACTGTGATTGGTATATTAATTAATTAGAACTACATATTCATCACTAATCATCAATTCAACAACGAGGGGGGGAATCAGGACAGCAGACACTTCACGAATCAGGACAGCAGACACTTCACACCTTCGTAAACTCTTTCTCTAGGAACTGAAACTGTAGCAAATTCTACATACAGTTTCTTTAATATGGAATATATTTAATGAAATAGATATATTCCTGACATTAAGTTACCTTTTTTACTCCCCGTATATCAAACAAATGGCAGTATAATAATCCTACCAAAAGGTACGTATTCACTGATCTTAATGTAACGTGCATTAAAGAGAACGCTACAGTGCAGTCGGGTCCAAATTAAAAATGTTTTTTTAATGACTACAAGCGCGTTTGCAAGTTTCTCTTTTTTTCTGTTCCCGTGTGATCAGTCGTATGCAAATTGCAGACACAGTACGGCAAGTCATGTTCCGATTCTATCTGGAGTGTCTTATTTCCCCACGGCGCCGTATTATAAACTGTAATTACGTGGATGTCATCTTGAATTCTGTTTCTTAATTGTAGAGGATGCAGAGGATTTTTTTTTAAGGGCTCCGTCTAATCTCAATTCAGCACAAAGTATATTGACACCTTTTTTGCCTTTGTCCTCCATTAATGTCTTTTTAACAGTGACTCGTGTTTCTTGCAGACGATTCTCAAAGGCCTGCGACGTATGGGAAGACATTCTGGTGGATCACCCCACCGATATGCTGGCTCTCAAGTTCTCTCATGACGGCTACTTCTACACGGGGGCCAAAGCCCAGCTGAGGGATTCCGTGGCCCGGGTGCTGCCCTACTGGAAACCACACATGCCTTTCTTCAGGTGCAAACACCGCAAACATTACATACATGCTGAATGCATGAACACAATTTGGCTTCTTGATGAGCTTTAAAAGGAACAAATAAATGGTGTATTTAATATGGATGTGTAACCAAATACATAGCAATGCTAAGATATGTTGATATACTATTAATTATGACAAACTGTACTAAGACAAATTATACTATGAATGTCATACTCAGTTGAGAATGTTGTACGACATGTTACGTTTTATGGCATATAGTGCTACTGTTGTTATATTCATGAAGCATTACATACTTTGCCATGAATTTTTAACGACATTTGTTACATTTTTTATGACATTTGAAAGGAAATACAATAACTTTGTTAATATTATTATGGTTTTTTTAAATGGTAGTTTCTGTAGTAGTTTATCATATCGGCGTAAGAAAACAGCGCTTGTTTATGTATTTGTGTTGCTTCTCCTTCAAAACGATTAAAGCTTTTTGGTGCAGGGCCTCGCCATGACTCCGAAGGACGCTTGGTCCGTTCACTCTGTGGCCCATGTTTATGAGATGAAAGCCGAGGTGGACAAAGGCTTGAAATTCATGGAAAGTAGAGAGAAGGACTGGCAGGTACACATTCTATGCTGCTATTCGTATGCTAAGTCTGTGTGTTTTTTTTAAACATTCTTTTTCAATTAAATCATTTAACAACCTTTTTTCACAAACTAAAAGAGAAGACGTTGTCATTCATTTTCAGGCGTCTGACGTGCTGGCCAGTCATAACTATTGACATTGGGCTCTATACTTCATCGAGAAGGTAAATATTATAATGAGTTTTCTCATCCAAGCGAATAGTCGGAGGTGAGCGTGTTTGTGGAGCCTGTATTTATGATATGCTCCCCCCCCCCCCCGGGTAATATGAAGTTGATTTTATTGCGAGATTAATTTGTGTTTGCGCCTGTGCCACACTATCTCTCAGCCCCGCTTGTCTCTCAAGTCTGGAGTTTAACATATTAACCTTTTCCCTGCCTCCACAGGGGCAATACGAAGCCGCTCTGCAGATATACGATTCTCAGGTTGGTTTTGCATCCAAAATGTAACGACAGATTTGTCCGAGTGCGTTCAAAAGGCACACGCGCACCGACCGACAGGGGATCCAGACCAAACGCAATGTGTGGCGCTCCTTGTGAGTCAAGAAGGAAGCGCGTGTGCAAATGGAAGTCAAATCCACACGATGACAAATTGCTTGTGTCAAATGCCAGAGCTGATTACTTTTTCATTCACGCTATAAATAGGAAAGTCACAGTTCACAGTGTTACCCAACATTGCCGTGCGTTCTGACGCAACAGAAATTCTAACACAAAGTTTGATATTCATGAATGTTTAACCGCTCCCATCAGTGGAGTACAACAAGACATGAACGAGACCTTTCTTTTAAAAATGCATAACTGTGTTGAATGTCATTGCGTGGATGCAGTTACGCGTTACGTCCTTCTGTGTGCAGGGTGAATAGCAAACGTTTGTCCTGCGTTCAGGTAATCAGACGCTGCAAAGCAACAGGATCTATGTTGGACACCGTGGACGCCAGTTCAATGCTCTGCAGACTGCAAATGGAGGGTAAGCTGCAGAGCGGCGTGGTCATCCACGACCTATCGTTGTTAATGTTAAAAGGAATTCCTAATCGCACCTGCTCCGTGAAAAAAATACAATATCTTGTAGGCCGATCATCAGGGTGCTGTTGAGATTCTAGGAATCTGCATTTCACTCCTGCAGAATGACACCGGTTGGCCTAATGGAGGCGTTGCAACATTACTCTAATGTGTCGCTTATTGGCAGACGGGTAATTTAACACCGTATGCCTCTCGAGCAAAACAGCTACTCGTGTGTGAAAATCTCAGTTATTTTCCCCTATTTGACCATATTTTCTTAGCCTCTTCCAACTGAAATTTTCAAAATTTGTCTTTCTAGCCTCCAGAGCAATATGTGTGTGTTTGTCCCGGTGCAGGTGTGTGCGTGAAGGACCGTTGGCAGGAGGTGCTCCAGGTGACGCGCCCGCACACCGACGACCACGTGACCCTGTTTAACGACGTCCACTTCCTCATGGCGTCGCTGGGAGCCAAAGACGGCGGCACCTCTCGGCGGCTGCTGGAGGGCCTCCAGGAATTGGCCAAGTAAAGCACCATGTCCTCTGCTCGCCCCCCCGCCCCCCCTCCTCCCCCTCAGTCTGTCATCCTTAGTAAGAGCCTCACAGGCCTCATGCAAAGCGGAGACCGAAGCGAGGCTGAGCGTAGGCTGGCGAGATGTAGAGAGCGTGTGCGGTCAGAAAGGGAACTCCGAGTCCTCCCTCTGCAGCAGATGCAGCAGCTGTGGAGAGGCGGGTACAGCGCGTCCCGGCGTCCCGACCGCGGGCGTCCTGTGCTCTCCATTTAGTCCGCCGAGCAGCCCGCAGAAAAGATGCCACTTTAAATTTGTTCTCTACATTTTGCAGAGTTATGTAATATAAAGTCACAATAGTGGGAAAACATGTACCTACGTGAAGAGTGAGGAGGGAAGGGGGGGGGCTCTTAAAGTAAGAAACGGGAGACATGAGGACATTTGAGTTTTGCATTTATTTTTTCTTATTTGAAGGAATACACTGGGCAACATAATCCACATTTATGCCATTAAGTAAGTCCACATAGTGTGGACTCACAGCTAAGTGAGTCCTACTCGGACATTCAGGTTTTTACAGTCAAGTTACAGTCATGCTTTAATGCCCCTGTCTGCCTGTAAAGGGAGTAAAAGAATGGAGTTGTTATATAGATTTTGTTAAGCTAATGTTTTTTTTAATGTATGAGATTACACGTGTTGGAAAGGAATATTCATTGCTTTCATTTCATTAAATGTTTCCTCTGTAAATATGCTATAAAGTTACCTCCCCCCCCACAGAGAGCCGGGGGACAATCAACAGCATCACTTGGCAGCGTCTCTGGGTGTATCAATGGTCGAGGCCATGACGGAGTACGACCAGGGCAACTACAACCGCACCGTGGAATTACTGTACCCTCTACGCTATCGCCTGGTAGAAATGGGCGGGAGTGATGCGCAGGTACGCTCCCTGAAACGCAATCCAAATCCATTCCCCCGAGATGACGTTGTAGATGACGTTGTCCGCCGTGGTTCTGAAGCTCTGCATTAGCAGCCGCATCCGTTCAGTCACCGAAGCGGCTGCGTGGTGTGAGAATGTGGCGCCCTGACTCATGAGTAATTCATCTGTGATGCATTTTATGTTCTGTGTGTTCACAGAACTGTTCCCCAAGGTGAAAAAGTGTAAATGTAGTATAAAGTACAACGCAAAAGGAATAGAAAGACACTCTCTACAGTGTTGCAGGAAGATTTGTCCGCTAACGGTTTCGTCTGCTGTTTTTTTTTCAGAGGGACGTCTTCAATCGGCTGCTCATTCATGCGGCCATAAAATCAGAGAACAAGCACCATCAGAAAATGGGGAGGTAATGCACGACACGGCTTTCCTGCCAATCTGAAGGCTTCGATTTCCGCCTTTTCACGTTTATAAAAAAAAAGAAAAGAAAATATGTAATTCACCTTTTTGAAGCACTGGATTTCACCACGATACACAGCCTAGTCGCTGTCCACGTCCACTCAGGTTTTCATCAGTCCCTGTGTTTCCAGAACGCTAGCTTAATGCTCCCATTATGCAACCCACATCTCCTTGTCTCCTTGCTTCCTTTTACTTTTGCGTTGCATCCAAAACTTTCCACTGCAATCCTTTTTAAATGTAGACATTAGTGCTCTTGTAGTTGCAGACTTTCTTTCTTTCTTTTCTTTTGTACGCGGAGAAATGATACCACCTGGCATTTAAATATACATTCTTTGGAGTAAAGTCGATCCTAAAGTCAATGTCCAATAATGATACACATTGAATTTAGCTTGTGATGACACTGAATAACACAATGAGGTGCACTACACTTCAGACACGTTCACATCCAAAATGTATTCGATGTCGCAGTGATACAGTGGCAATAAAAAAAAGATGCCCTTGCACAAGCACTGCGAGTTCTTTTCTTCCCGTCTTTCCCCGCGCCGGCCCGCGCTCACAACACGGAGGTAATCTCATCTTGGATCTGAGAGACCAGGATGTGGGACAGCACGATGCCTGCAATCTAGAGGACAGTAGCAGCCACTTTAGATCGCGGAACGCAAGCGCCTCAAGGTCCTGCGTGCGCATTTTGCACCAGAATCATTTTAAAAAATGAGACTTGAATGGATTGTGTCACATGTACTCACTGTAAAGTCATATTAACTGAATGGACACGTTCATTTATGGCAGTTTGATTTGGTATAGTTAAGTCAAGATGTTTCAGACCAGAAATAGAACTTCACAATCAAATGTCTCGCACATCGAAGCCAAACTGCAATACTAGTGCAATTGTTTTGACAGGACTCATGGGTAATTCACATGCTTCGCTCTTAGCAGAATCTCCGGGGACCCAATCAGACAGATATGAAAGCAAGAAACATTAGGCAAAAGATTCAGTGGCAAAGCAGCGTTCTGTAGGAGGATGCGCCGCGACAGTAGCTGAATCCGTTTGATAAGTAAGCGTACTAATTATTTAGGAGGCAGCTTTTGATAAGTGCTGGTTTGATTTCACGGCCAATCTTAACATTTTGACCTGACTCATCAACAGTTCTTGGTGGTGCATTAGAGGTGCGTGGAGCTTGCTGAGTAGGAGGGCGGAATCACTACACTTCTTTCTCGGGCCCCCGCCGCTTACATTGTCGCATGCAGACTTCTACCTCGCCGGCAGATCAACCTGAGCTTCCTGTCTGGGACAATGCGATAAAAGAATAATGTGCAGTTAAAAATTAATCGTGCATAGTTATTGCTGTCTAGGTAAAAACCCCAGTTTAAATCATTTCCATCCCAGTGGCCTCACACTGACCCCACGCCCGGTTGGTTTCCTCTGGAATAAGAATAGCTTTTTTTCTTTCTGTGCAACTACAGCTTAATTCAATGTGAGGCGATCTGCACCTGTGCAGTGTGTGTGTGTGTGTGTGTGTGTGTGTGTGTGTGTGTGTGTGTGTTTGTGTGTGTGTTAAAGAAAGTTGCTGGGGCGCTGATTGATGAAGTGTTACCCGGGCTACTTTTTTAGCCCTGTCCAAATCCACCGTGGAGGGAGAAGGGCTCAATAAGTTGATTCCTACAAACTCAATTCCAGCGAGTCTCCAGTTGCCTCCCAGTATTGATGTGTGTATTGAGTGTTATTTCGACGACGCCAGAGACATTTTCTCGGACCAGAATTGTCTGCGGTTACCAGTGGGAGAGGACTGTTGTAGGTGTGCGCGTGGGCTGAATTAAGCAAAGCGGTGAGTGGGGTTACCTGAGCCAAGGCTATGCCCAAGGCGAGAGCCCCCACCAGCAAGAGGTGAGACTCGATCCACGTGGCCGCTTTGTCCACGCAGCCCGCGGCGTAAATGGACTTGTTCGCCTCCAGGTGGCTCATGGTTTGAACCCCGAAGCCGCACATTGTGTTGATCACCGTCTGTGCACCCGATGAACAACGGTGCAGGCGGAGAGAGAGAGAGAAAACGGGAGAGTTTGTATTGAACTTCTGCGGTACTCAGAAGACACTCTCATAAGCTGCTTTTCACATCTCTCCTGTTAAATTGCAGAGGTCAGAGGTCAGTGGATGTCTGTTGATTGTAGAGACTGTAGAGGTACTGATACATTCGTGTCCATTTGATGCAACCAGACAGACTAATCAGTCCCTGAAGCAGCCGCGCAGTTACAGGCTATGAACAGCAGATTGCTCTTCTAGTGTTTAGTTGATCGAATCTTGATATGTTTTTCCGTGTAGCATTACGCGTAATCAATAATGTTATGATTGATTCACATGGACTCTTTTGATTACTGCATTCACCTCAAGTACAAGGAATTATTGTGGCTTGTAAACTGTGCTGCTGGAAGTCTGCCAGGGGCTAGACAAGCATTTAAAATGTATCATTGTGTGAACAGTGTGTGTGTGTGTGTGTGTGTGTGTGTGTGTATGTACACACACACACACACACACACACACACACACACACACACACACACACACACACACACACACACACACACACACACACGCTTGGGCTCCAGCATGCATGCTTATCTGTACACATTTAATGTGTCATGCCTGTGCTGCGTGTTGGTTCCGTGCAGACTGTTTATGAGAAAAGGGCTTTCATTATGACTTTTAAAAAATATATATTACACTATATTATGACTTTCCCAGGTTCAACTCTTTTTTCAACATGCTATATAATTACTTTTAATTTAATTTAATTTACTCTTTTTACTCTTTCTATACTATGATTTTTAATTTCTTTTTTCACATAGTATGCTTTGACTTTTTAGGAAATGCTTCTGTCAAAAGGCTGTAGAATGAGTTAAAAACAAATACAACATACTAATATACTAGTATTAGTTTATAGTACTACCATAGTACTCTTTTCATTTTAACACATTATACTATACATTTTGTATGACTTGTGTCGCTATGACTTCATTCAAGATGCTGAACTACTACATAATATATGGTGTCTTTTTTATGTCTTGACATTCTATACTGTGACTTTAATGACATTTGTCAGCATGACCTTTTGATGACTTTCTTTGACTTTTTAAAATATGCCAAACTATGACTATTGCTAACTAACTAACTAAAGGAATGTAGAATTTCCATACTCGTGTCAAGGGCAGAAGTCGTGTCCTCTGTAATATTCAGGTTGGGATTTCTTCTGATTAAATGTGGCTTTTTTGCATCCCAACTATTAACCTGATGTTTCCTCACGTCTTCTGCATGGATTCCCACTGCGCTGTATGTTCTTCAATGGAATGTTTTTCCCTAATTAAATTAGCCTGAGAGGCATGGCCCCACGAACCGGACAAAATAGAAACCTCACGTATTTACATCTTTATCCTTCAAGCAAATCAAGCTAGATGAGAGCAAGGGGCTTCTGAATACATCTGAGACGTGTGCAGTTATTGAGAGGTCTGTGACCAGGAGAACACTTTTTTCAGAGCACCACCAAAGTGTAAAATATCCCACTGCAATGCAAAGCTGAAAACAAGCTGCTCTTGTGCCATTTGCACATAATTAGGTAACACATTAGATAACAGGGACGAGCTGTATTTGATGCAGCCTTACTTTGCAAATGAGCCTCATTGCCCAAATGTTGCAATCTCTTATATTATAATTAGTCCAATATTTCTGTCAGGAGCTGCATCCATTCATGTGTTTCATTGTTGACCGATGGATCAAACGGGTTGTGCTACATCTTTGGTCGTTAAAGGTTAAGTGCTCATGAATATGCAATAAACGTGGAATTGACCACAGCACCTCTTTCTGGATGTGATCCATCAGGTTCTGCAGATCCAGGTCGTCCCTGTAGTGAACGACGGCTTTCTTCACAAACACAAAAAGTGTTCACGCATTCGCTGATGTAAACAATTAACATGAATAATACTAATATATGTATGAGGCAGACACATCACATCCTCTTTTGTACGTTGTGTGAGCCTCCTGTGGGAAATGTCTCGGGAAATACGGCAGCAGAGCAGAAGGTGCTGCAGCGTGACGGCCGGAATGAAATATAATGATAATAGGAAAATTATCCACGGCTTTCAGACCTTTCAGCGTGTTGTTACGTTTGATACGTTGTCATTTCCAAATGCACAGATGGTTTTTATTGGTTGGTGTACGAGTCCAGTGTGAGAGCTGTCAGACGAGTACCTGCTCAGAGTAGAAGAAGCCCAGAACTGCGATGGCCAGCTGAGTGAGGAAGACCAATGTGAGGCTGAGGGAGAACTAGAAGGAAGCAACGAAACACATCAATAATAAAACACAGTTTACCTCAGACGAGAATCAAAACTGTCAGATTTGTTGTTTGCACAAAGATGGCTTTGGAATAAACGTAATTTGAGCTTCCATATTGGAAGCAAAGCACAGCGGCAGTATTAGTAATGTTTCTATTACTGTCTTGAGGAGGCGAATGTTCTGTCGGAGCGCTCCGATGCAACCGCAGAAAGTGATGAAGAACATGATCACCCCCACCACAATTAGGATGACAGCCGGGTCGATCAGGAACGTGTTCCGCACTGCGTCTGGCAGAAAGACATGAAAAGCCCCGTTTAACAGTCTATACTCCTCTGTTGCTACCTGTACCTTTTTTCCTCTGCTCTCGTTTCTGCTTTTCAAACCTCTGTTCATTCTAACTAACTAGTTCCCTTCGCCGCTCCTATTCTCCGATTTTATTTTCCAATCCTCCTTTCCCACACCAGCTGCCTTCATTCTTTTAAAATATTAATGCTCTGTTGTGGATTATGCAGAGATAATCAGTTGGGTGAAAAATCCTTTTTTGCTGTCTGATTCGGATTGCAAATTTAATGTGAAAATAATGATGAATGACACCTGGGTCAACAGGTGTCCCGCTGTAAGAGGTCACGGTATCACAGCAGCGCAGCTCAGGAGATATAAAATGAATGGAGAGGTTTATTGGCAATAAATGGACCTAAAGTGAATATATAACAAACAAAATACACATTCTTGAGCATTAGAAATGTGGAAAAGTGCACAATATGCAGCTGAATATGTAAAAAGTGTGCGATGTTTGTACCTGTAGCTTTCTGGATTTTAGCATAAACTCCGACGGCAACAATCAACAAGGAGAAAACCTGGAAAAAAGCATATTGAGAAGATTACTAATTCTCTCATTGTGCTTCACATTTAGCAAACATCGAGTCTTTTCAAATGTGCTGCCGAATGCAAGTGGAGATCTAAAGGTCGTGCCCTCGTTGGACATTTTTCAAATGTATCAGCTGATTGTATGGAAGTGGAATCAATCTCCTCTGCTAAATATAAAAAAGAAAAGCGATTAACTTTATTCACTAAAACTCATGCTATTCCCTTAGAGTTTACCACATCCATCTATTCCCTAATTATCCATTGAAAAACATCTAGACAATGTACGTTTCATTCTTGAAGGTCTATTCTTTAGTTGCACTTCCACCAGGGACCATGTGTGGTCCGATCAGCATCGATTTTTTCCTCGGGTGCTGAGTGTGCACAGCGTCAGTTTACGTCTCCACCATAAACAGACAGATGGAAGTCAGCGGGGGGGAAACAACAACAAAACATATGGAACCTGACTTTAATCATCTGAATGTGGAGAAGTCTTTCTGTCACCTTCTGAATTTAAAGCTTCAGTTTTCACATGAAAATGTCTCTGCGTGTCTGTTATTTATCCTCTGTTAGCCGAGCGGGGGACCGAACTATTGTGAGCGGAGAACAGATACTGTAGACACAGTCAGGAGAAAAAAGGTGAAAGAAGGTGAGAAAGCGAGAGACGGAGAGCGTGTGAAGAGTCCAGCCCGTCTGACCTGCTCGACGCCGAGAAGACAGAAGAAAACATCCCACGGTTTGAAATGTTGAACACAAGTGAGACGTTGGCAGCCCATAAGGCGCACGCGTTGGATGAAGGGAAGAATTTGACTGATTAATCAGGTTTCACTACAGCATTGCATTGTTAATTTCTTTTCTTTCCTTGTTTTGTTTTTCTCACCTTTGAATAAATCTCTAAAATTTCCAACCTCCAGGTTGACAGGGTCAGCTGAGGACCAAACGCGCATGTGTCGTTGTGAGTGTTTGCGCACTGGAATGTATTCCAGCTCTGTTTTCAGGCTTTTCAAAAGGGATGAATCGGGCTTCTCTCCCGGCGGATTGTGTGCGGAGCTGAAAGCCGGCTGAACTGAGTCGCGAGGACGCGGGGACAAAAGACCTGATGGATTACTGCTGCAGTGTTTACTTCTGAGCCCGGACCTGATAAACAAAGTCACGGCGGGCCGGGCTGTGTGGCTGCTGATTGCTTCCAAACGCTGCAGGAGTGCAGTGCGCGGCCCCCCCCCCCCCCCCCCCCGCTGGGTTTCTGCAGGATTGGGTGAAGAGGCATACAAGAGGAGGTGTAGGCAGCTACATGTGTGATCTGTGCACTTCAAGTAGTAATGAAGAAGTGTCAGAGAGTCTAAAGCGTGTGTCTGCTTGTGTGAATAAAACGAATGTTAGAGGCAAAGGGCCTGATCAGGTGTCTCCTGTCCTCAGTAAAACTAACTACTAGTGGAGCTCATGATACTTACTCATATTACCGAAGCCCCTTTACAGGAACCAAGGTGTTCATCTCTTCTATAAGGCCACCAGACATCCAGGCGACCTGAAATTGGACTAAGAATCTCTTTCTTTAAACCAAGCTAGTCTGCTAAATTTGTTGTTGATTCTAGTGTCTTAAGTTAATTTGATTGCTGATTTGCTTTAGCTTTCGTCGTCTCACTGCCAGTTCTCTTTGTTTGAAGTTATCTTGGTTGCTAGTTTGCTCAAGCTCTTTCAGTCTTTTAGTGCCAGTTTGTGTTCTAGATTCTACCATCAAGTTAACTGCCATTGTGCCCTCCTAACTCTGCTAGGTTTTGACCTGATCGAAGTCTGTTTTGCCTTGTCTTCTGAAGCAAATAAGACTTGAATCCTTAAACTCTCATTTTGTCAAAACACCACATGGTGATTGTTCACTGATTAGGGTGTCAAGCTATTGGTGTTTTGCATTTTGAGGAGTTTCTGTCGAGGCCAATCAACCTTTTGTCTCCTAAACGACGGGGGAGCGGCCAGCCGACTTCCACTAACGAGGGAGTATTTAACTAGAAATCGTGGGAAGCGTTAGCTTTAGCGTTTGCTTATCATCGCAGCACGAAGACGAGCAGAACAAAGACAAAGGAGTCTTTCGTCACCTGAGAACACATCCACCCCAGCCGCTCTCTCCTCCGCCTTCTCCTTCAGCCACACTCCCAGGCCCACTGGTAGGGGTGGTGGCACAGGTCTACTAATTTCACCCAAATGGAGCTTTTCTCTCTACCCTCTACCACCATCCACCCCATTGTCCTTTGAATTCCATGCTGTAACAATCACTCACCCTGTACAATTAACCATCGTTGTCCTCTACCGTCCGCCAGGCTCCTTAGGTCATTTCTTGGAAGAACTGGACATTCTCCTGTCTAATTTCCCCGAAAATGGACCTCCGCTCATCCTCCTGGGTGACTTCAACATCCAGACAGAGAAGTCATCTGACCTCTTACACCTACTTTCTTCCTTCGCTCTGTCACTCAGTCCCTCTCCTCCTACTCACAAAGCCGGCAATCACCTTGACTACATCTTTACTAGAAACTGCTCTACCACTAACCTCTTTGTAACTCCACTTCATGTGTCTGATCACTTCTTCATCTCTTACTCCCTTCCACTCTCTATAACTAACAAACCTCCCTCACTGACTAACTCTGTACCGGCTCGTCGCAATATTCGCTCCCTCTCTCCCTCCTCGCTGGCATCCTCTCTTCTATCAGCTCTCCCTTCAACTGATTCCTTCTCACTCTTGCATCCAAACGCTGCTGCAGAGACTCTCCTCTCAACTCTTTCCTCCTCTCTAGACTCTCTCTGCCCTCTTACGACACGACGGACTGGCAAATCCCCTCCGGCTCCGTGGCTGTCTCAACCGGTGCGTGCCATGAGAGCCACCATGCGAGCGTCGGAAAGGAGATGGCGTAAATATAAACGACCTGACGACCTGCTTAAATCTCAATCTCTTCTCTCCTCGTTTTCTGCTTCTATCTCTGCTGCCAAAAGCTCTTTCTACCAATCCAAAATTGAATCTTCATTTTCTAACCCCAAAAAACTCTTCTCGATCTTCTCCAATCTCCTCGAACCCCCTACCCCTCCTCCCCCCTCCACCCTTCTTCCGGGAGACTTTGTCAACTACTTCACCAAGAAAATAGCTGACATACGCTCCTCCTTCTCAAACCCACCTCCTACTTCTTGCGTCGCACCGACCTCACCTCTTTCGCCCTCACTTTCCTCTTTCACCGCCCTCTCTCCTAACCAAATTCTTACCCTAGTAACCTCTGCCCGTCCGACCACCTGCCCTCTTGACCCCATTCCATCACATCTTCTACAATCTATCGCACCTGACCTTCTTCCGTTCCTCACCTGTCTCATCAACAACGCTCTGTTATCTGGCTGTTTTCCAATTCTCTGAAGGAGGCAAGAGTCAACCCCCTCCTGAAGAAACCTACCCTCAACCCTTCTGAAGAAAACAACTACAGACCGGTCTCTCTTCTTCCTTTTTTGTCCAAAACCCTTGAACGTGCTATCTTTAATCAACTCTCCTCTTATCTCCACTGTAACAACCTCCTTGACCCCCACCAGTCAGGTTTCAAGCCAGGCCACTCCACAGAGACTGCTCTCCTTGCTGTCTCAGAGCAACTCCACACTGCTAGAGCAGCCTCTCTCCCCTCTGTCCTCATCCTTCTGGACCTCTCTGCTTCATTTGACACGGTCAACCACCAGATCCTTATTTCCTCCCTTCAGGAACTTTGTGTCACAGGCTCTGCTCTCTACCTTCTCTCGTCCTACCTCGACGGCCGCACCTACCGGGTAACCTGGCGAGGATCTGTGTCGGAACCTTGTCCTCTTACTACTGGAGTTCCTCAGGGATCCGTGCTGGGTCCCCTCCTGTTTTCGCTTTACACCAACTCTCTTGGCGCTGTCATTCGCTCGCATGGCTTCTCTTACCACAGCTATGCCGATGACACCCAACTAATTCTCTCCTTCCCTCACTCGGACACCCAGGTGGCGGCTCAGATCTCTGCCTGTCTAACTGACATCTCTTAGTGGATGTCCGCCCACCATCTGAAAATCAACCCCAACAAGACTGAACTACTTCTCTTTCCCGGAAAAGATTCGCTTACCCAGGACCTGACAGTCAACTTTGGAAACTCCGTACTAACGCCCACTTTGACCGCTAAGAACCTCGGCGTCACACTCGACAGCCAACTCTCCCTGACTCCCAACATTACCGCGACAACGCGATCCTGTAGATACACGCTCTACAACATCAGGAGAATACGTCCCCTTCTCACTCAGAAGGCAGCGCAGGTACTGATTCAGGCTCTTGTCATCTCCCGCCTGGACTACTGCTGGTTGGTTTGTTTCAACTGCATTAGTTTTATGTTTCAACCAGTTAATAACTAACCAGTGATTAATGCCTAAAACTAATGTAAAACCATTTTAAATCTGAAGGTTTTCATTTTTCTCAGAATTAAAACATGACTTGGCTGAGTTTCAAATGTTTTGGGTTATGTTTACATTTAATATTATATATATATATTGGAAAATTCTGGTTATTCATTCATTTTAGCTAACTTTTTTTTGGCTTAACTCCACTAATACCTTTTTGGTAAAAAACTGGTTACTCCATTGGCTCTACTGCAGCAGCACCGTCCGTGGGAACAAGAGTCTGGATGGGAATCACTGTATAACAAGGACTCCAATTATGTGCATTCACAATGCAACACACAATAAATTCAACAGTGGCTTTCAAGCACCGGCATTCTGTTCAATTCAAATATGGAAACATCCAACTACAGACTACCATTGGGCTTACACAACTGCCTGATTTCTTTATGGTTTAGTATACGTCAATGCTAAACTAATGAGAATAATACAAGAGTCAACATTTATGATTTATGAGTAATTGCAGTGTCTTTGTTAAAACAGGCAGCAGGAGGGCGGCTGGGTGCTCCTGCTGTTTGCAGCTACGCTTACCATCCGATTTATCTTTGGTCATTTCTTATTTACAAGCTTGTTTTAATTTGCCCCCCTTTTGCTAGCAGATCTAACATTTTTGGAATGCTGAAGCTCCCTGATAGCTGTTGGTCACAGATATTTAGGCTACATGGAGCCCTGGGCCACTATCACAGCTGTGTTTTTGTCCCTACTAATCCATCAACAGCGCAACTCTACTCACCCAAAACACAAAGCTGAAGAAGAACAGAAAATATCTGATCCAGGGGTTGACGAAGGAGAAATCCTTAGCTCGGTTCAGACGCTGTTTTCTGTCCATCGTTTGCAGGTGTTTCTACATTAAAGGTTAACGTCAAATATGTATCCTTACAAATGTGGACATTTGGACATTTAAACCTCTAAAATAATGATATAGCACACAAGAGAGGACGAAATATTACCGTATTAATATTATTAATAATATTATTAATATTAATATTATTATATATTACCGTCTACGCATAGATGTTGAAACAACTTTCACTTTTCAACCATTTTGCAACGTCTTTTCAACGTCGGGCATAGACGTCTTTTAAACGTCTTTTCAACCAAACAATGCTCACTGGGGTTCCAGTGAGGAAGCACAAGCAGTTCCAGGAACCTGAAATAAAAGCAGCCAGATGAAATCCAACCGTCGTTAATTAGGCCGCAGAAGCTCAGTCCAAATGTCTTCTTTGAAAAGGGCGTTTATTCCGTCTCATTGTCAAATTATAGAAACGGGAGCATACAAATGATGGAATAGAATTTTAGGCCAACGGTTGGCGAAAATTATTTTGAGAGGAAATAAAGGTGAACAGGAAATTATGAGTTAAACTAACTGTTGTAAACATTCAACATGATTTTAAAGAATTTACTTCCTGTTTTAATTGTTTGACTGTTTCTGGCCTCATTGTTGAAATTACGGCTCCAACTGGACTAATTCTTTTAAGAATAAGCTGGACTTTTACACCACCACTACTAACACAGATATTTTGAAGCTCAGAGGAGAAGCATTGGAGGGCTTTTTTCTTTAAGTCGCCAAACCAGATAGATAAAGTATTCTCAGCATACACTCTTTTAGCGAATCAGCACTAAATAGACTTAAACAATCCTGTCCTGTAAGGTTTGCTGCCGTACCTAGCGGTCTCAGCTTCGATGATCCTCCTCCGCCGCGGCTGCAAGAAAGGGAAGCTTACCCGAAATCTTTGAAGTCGCAAACCAGACTAACTGTGTGATGAGTTGGAATGTCAGCTATTGTGGGTACAAACGAAGCATAAAGCCCATATTTCCTTCTGTGGAAAGGGACAGAGAGAATTTGTGCCACCTGCGCTGAAAAGAATGTAGCCGAGACACAACATGGCCGCTCTGCTTTTTACCCCTCGTGCCCTCGTTTTGCACCATGTTGTTACTTTCCTCTGCAGCTTGGACGACATGGTAAAACCCATCAACACACAAACACTGGAACTGAATGACCCATCTCTCTTCACTCGACCGTCCCGGTGGAGCCCTAATAAACAGCCATGTTACACTATTTGAATGCTGTTGACGTGTTGCAGTACAAAGTGTGTGTGTGTGTGTGTGTGTGTGTGTGTGTGTGTGTGTGTGTGTGTGTGTGTGTGTGTGTGTGTGTGTGTGTGTGTGTGCGTTCACCAGTAGACTTTTGCATGACCATTTATTGTTCGGAGAAGAATATTTTTGTTTAAAAAATGTTCACTGATTATTTCTCACTCCTACATGACGTTCCTCTATGAAGCTTGATTTACCAAAATATATAATCTGCATAAAAACAATAATTATCTATTACACTAAATATCATCCCCACGTGTCCCTCAACAGCTGCATAACGCCAAATCCATCTGAGCTCATTGCACCGATCAGTTCAATACTTACACTTTGCAGTACTGACGACATACAAAAAAGGAAAAATTAAGACGTTTGACATTTCAACAACAAAGATAAACCAGTAAAGTAGAAACAATGTTGAAACTTTTCTCATTTACAAGTGACAAGGTGCCTTGACTTTAATAAACATGACGAAAAAAGAAGCTCCACAAATGTTGGAGGGTAATTATCAGCTGTCTATGTTCTCTTTGCCCTCGGAGAAGGTGTGCCGGCATTAGTAAAGTCTTCATTGTCTCAGTCTGTCCTTCCTTCCAGCAAAATTGTTAGTCCAAGCAAGAAAAAATAAGGGAGTGAAAACCCGAATGGGATTCACTTCCTTGCCAAAAGTAGCTGTCCCTTCTCTTCCAGTTGTGTTACTCTTTGGCAAAATGAATGTTGTGAGAGGAGATAGCAGAATGGAGCGGAGACAGCTGGAATCTGTACAGAAGGTTTGGGATAAGTGGGTGGTGGTGGGGGTGGGGGCGCATAGAAGGTTGTAAAGTCTTATCCCATCGGGCAGCGGGGCTCCTCTCCATTGGAAGCCTCCCTCCGAGTCTAAGCATCGTACTTCTTCCCTGTTCTGTGGATGTGGTGGAACAGCGTCATGGAGAACGCCATGCCCAGCAGCTGTGGAGAAGAGCGGAGAAGGACATGGTCAACGTGTGTGTGTGTGTGCGTGTGCACATACATTTTGGGTGTGCATGCGTGTGGTCTTTTTGATGTTGACGCCTGAGGCTGCAATAAGTTTGGATGCAGTTCAAATCCCGCGGTGACGCACGAGCACATTTTTTCGTCCGTTTCTCAGATGGTCTGAAAAAGAGCGAGTTCTGGAATCTTTGTGATGGAAAAAAAAATGTAAAAGCGTGCAACAGCATTAAGTCAATAAAGCAAATTGAGATGCCACTGAATCAAAGTGTCCGGCTATCTCTTTGAAGTTTCCATTACCCCTGATACTTCCACATCAAAAGCAAAGATGGGATGGCAGGAAAACGGTAAAAACGTATTGTATGGTGCATAGTCTTTAGTGAAAAGGCATTGTGACTTCCTGAAAACCGCCTCCATGGGGGATTCCTACGGGATGTGATTAACCTGGGAAAGCCTCCGATTGTCTTTGGTTAGTTTAAGTTGAAAGCCTTATTCGTCGGGCTGCTTCAGAGAAAGAAAAAAAAAGCCACGGTAAGCTGCTGCCAATCAAAACACAGAGTGCCGTATGAGGTAAACATCCAGCATGCGTTCAAACCACTGAAAAAGACAAACCCGGTGATTTGCCTCATCTGCACAACTCCGTCACTCTCAGAGTGTTTATTCAGTCTGTGCGAGTCAGAAATTTCTGAAACCGTTGTGGACGCCGATATTTGTCGCCGATATTTGTCAGAAGAAGAAAAAAAGGGAATAAACTTTTAGTTATTTAGAATGAGATTCATTCAGTTTGCAAGTTTTATTTTGTGGTCCTATTCTTTTCATTTTTTATTCATTAAATGTTGGAATTAAATAAATACTGTACTATAATAATGTTTGTTTTCGTTGACGATCAAATGGTGTCACTTTAATATATTAAGGTTCATCGATTTATCTGCTAAAGGAGCAAAGAAAGGAAGCATTGTAGAGTCTTTCTTAAGCATTCAGATGATTGAACAGCTCTTATCATAACGGGGCGCTGAGACGCCTCCAGGTCATTTCACTCACTTAAAAACCGCCTTGAGAAAAAATAACTTTCTAACCGCAGCCTGTGTGTACGTGTTTGCAGAAGGACGGTGAGTTTGGAAGGATGCGGAAAGCGTGTGATCTTGTCATGAATACATAGTGATCTTGTATCGACAAATGTAAACAGTAAAGGCCTTAAGCACGATCTTTTCTCAAGGACATTTGAAATGAAGAAGCATCTTATAAAACTCAACGCAGCGATTTCACAGCGAGGCCACCTGGCTCTGAATGAAAAATGGTTCATGAAAATGGGAAAGTTAGAGGCAGCGAGCAGGGGATATTTTTCATTACGTAAACCAGAGTGAAACAATTTAAAAACAGTCAACATAATAATTACAGGTAAAACCTCAATTTAAGCAGACTTTATTAAAAGTCAAATGATACATACGACTGCAAACATCACTCAAGGGGACAAGATATCTAAATTTGTGCTGAAGGTAACTAAGAACGGGTGAAACACCATCCTCTCGGGACAGATGATAACTCTGAAGGTATGTTCAAAGTTCAGAGAGATGAGGGAAAAGTAAAGTTTGCAGACACTTGTAGGACACAACCTCCAACTACGTGGGAACAGTACTGCAGTGGCAGTGACAGTCATCGTACAAAGAGGGATGGATGTAAAGCAGATATTTTATAGGAGGAATATCTACCCCCCCCCCCCCCCCGCCCCTCCCTTCCTATTCAGTGTCTCAGCTGAGAGCTCCTTATACCTGACTACATCCCTTTAGGTTGTACGCCTAGTAGCTTTGATTTTCCCAGACAGGATCAGGGTGCAGAAGACAGCTGCTTCAATATTTCAAGATGAGTGGGTGTCCGCACCCCCCCCCCCCCCGAGAAGAATCCTTATGACTCTCTCAGGAGGAGATGGAGGTAAAGAGGCCAAGGAAGGCACACAGACAGATAGACACAAACAAATGCACCTACACAGAAAACATTAATAAGAGAAACAGGGAGAGAAGCACGAAGAAATGGAAGAGCAATTTATCACTAAGCCTCTTACCTGCACTACCAAGATGACCATGCCTATGGTTCCAAGCAGGTGCTTGTTGTCATCCAGCCACTCCTCCACTTTCTCAAAGCAGCCCTGAGATGAAGCACAAGCTTGTGAAGACACCAACTAGAGAAAAGTGCATTTCCCATGCGGCGGGAGAATCACGTCCATTTCACTTGCCGCCTGTTTTGGGTCATCCCAACCACCCTGTTCACGCTTTCCCACTCGAATGCATCCGTTGGGATATCCCCTCGGTTGAATACACTACCAGGTGTGGTGTTAAAACGGGGGAATGGCCCATGAGTGGTGACTTTTATATGCAGACTTATGGGCCACATATATTGTTAAATGTATTACCACCTTGGTTCATTCAAGGATCACTCACTGGCAGGGAGGTGGGGGTGGGGGGGAAGCTGCAAGGCGGAGCCCCTTCTTAAGGGTGGGTGCTGATGCAGCATGTAAAAGTAACTGTGCGGCCGTCTCCTCTGGGCAGGATTACACACACAAGCTTTAAAAACTGTGCTTTCCCAATGGGCCAGCTCAATGTAATTCGATTAGAGCTCATTTCAGGTTTTTAATCTCCTACTTTGGACTCTCTAAATAAGCACATGCCAGACCAAATGTGGCTGATTAGAGTCGTAGTGGAGGGAGATTGGTGCTGTGTTTTAATGCATAATGGAAACAAATACATTGCGATCAGCTGTAAGACAAAAACTTTTAAACTACTGAGCAGATGGACCGAAGGAGATGTGTGGCTGTGATGTCCCTTGTGAATGTACACACAGAATACAGCCAGCAAAATATCTCTTTTTGGTCGTTTTGCATCTCTTTGGTTTCAGTCACTTTGTAAATGTTTAATTGGTTCACACAGACAGACATTTCCCCCAATATGATAGTAGGGGAAACACTGCATTGAGCCTCGGTGGACCCCTTAAGTTAAGCCTGGATATGTAGATCATACAACAAATGAATAAACCAAAAACACATTACAGCAGATGAACTCACCCTGTTCCAGAACATATTTGTTGAGTTTTTCCCGCAGTCCTGGTAATGCTCCTGGCAGCAGCGGTCTGGTACCATCTTCTCCTGCAGGGCCTCGTGCCAGTCGCTGTACGCGATCACACCGCAGCACTTCCACTGTGAAGGCCAAGCACACGTCGCACAAAAGATGAATTTACGCTTCCCGACCTCGAAGGCCCCAAACTAACGTTAATGTGACCAGGATTATGATGATGATGATTGGTCCCTGCAATGATGAATCGCAGCAGACTTCAGCGGCCAATTTTGAAGTTGCATAAAGCCACTGCGAAGCCAGGAAGTACATTAGCTGGAATATTTTAGTGAACCGTATGCATTTGTTTCATGCAGATTCTTTCTAACACTTGACGTAATGCATGATGTGAGACGTGTCTACCTCGGCCTGGATGATGTTCCAGGCATTTCGTAAGCCTATGTTGTTGTCGGAGTTGTAGAGAGCCAGCCCGTCCTTCAGATCCTGCTTGCAGTTCTCGCTCACCTGAAGACGAAAAAGACAAACACCCGCCGGTATTAGAGACCTTGCATCAAAGGGGTCCTTTGAAGAATCGTTAATTGAGTTGAAATATCCATCATAGCAGGCAGTTGAAGCTCAAAGGATGCATTCATTGTCTACATCTTTTTTTCTTCCTTTTTCACAGATTGCATACAATTCTTCAGGATGTCCTTCTTGTGAATAAAACTGATAGCGGCTTAGTTAGGAGGTAGTTTTTCTTCTTTTGATCTTTTAGAAGTGACCCCACTACAGCGGATCTGACACACGTTATGCGCCGCTAGCACATCATTTTCCTCCTGACTGAACCCCAATAATATGCTCAGGGTTGTGACATGTCTGACGGCGATTAATATCTCATTGAAGGTGTTAATGAAATACAAAATCAGAGCTTCAGCTCGCCTGCAGTTTGCGCTGCCCGTGGGGGTTTTGCTAACTGCAAGGACAGATTGAGAGGCGCTTCAGACAGACGTGGGATAATTATTACTGTAGTACCAAGCACACATCTATAAAGGAAGTACTAGTTATTTTACAACAAAAAGGATTGCACCTGCCTTAATAGTTAAAGCTTAACACCTCACCTTATACGCCCCAAAATAAGTGAAGCCAAATCATGGCTGTCACCGCCTGACACAACAAGCTGCTTTCTGCTTTTTTTTTTTTTATTTCTGCAAGCTCGTGGATAATGAGGGATCCTGATTTTCTAAAAGAAATACAATCTAAAAACAGAAACTTAGAAAGAAATGCCCTTAAATGCCTGGTTTGTGAGCTCAATGGCACAAGAAAAGTACTAAGTAAAGTTTCCTAGGCAATAATATGCTTTGGTTATTGCAAATCATGCAAAACCCATTCGAAACATCCTTTAAGACCGTTGAATTGAAGATTTGTATCATGGCGCTCCTCCTTCTTGTTCGGTGACTTTGCTGATGCAGAGCAGCACATCCGTGCGGTGCACCTCGGGCTGCAGGCCCTCGCCAATATTTCCTTATGCGGGAATATGAGACTGAGAGCAGCATCATCAATCTCTGCCACTGTTTCTATGCTTTATCTTTTCCTCTCCATCCAGGCTGTGATGCTGCATGCTCATTACCGACTCCCCGCGCTAACACTAGTCACTAGAGAGCATAGAGGGTCGGGGAGGAAGCGCTACAATAACAACAATAAAAAAAAAAATCATCTTCCGAGTCGCCGATCAGTCTCTGCCTTTCTTCTGTTTAATGTGCGAAAGTCTTTGTTACAGCCTGAAAATGTAACTCGATGATCCACATTTACTGCTAATGAGAAGCAGAACCGGGATTCCGGCAACGAACATGGATTTGATCTGATCTGTGAAAAGGAGCGGATTCATACACATTCTGTGTTGTGTCTTATTTTTCCAGATGGGGGAACAATCCACTTGACTGAAACCTCATGTTGTTGTTCACAAATAACAGTACAACCCCCATACTTTGTCGAAGTCTAACTCCAGGTTACTTTTCTGTGCATCATCTCAGATGTGTTCCACTCACAACTCCCTGAGACAATGATCATACTTCGGTTTACACAGATCATCTTGTGTTCTCCTCTGGGCTGCTCGGGTTAAACAAGGTGGTGCATTCATCACGTACTGTACATCTAAAAGGCCTCAGCAGGGCGAACACGGTCACAGAAAGGTGGAAACACATGGATTCGTGCATATATTACAGGTGGACGCGATGATTGAAGGAATGGGCTGCCGCTTCTAATTGGTGTGTTTCCTGCACAAAAGCCGAGAACAGCGAGTGGGTGGTGGAATGTCTGATCTGTCTGCTTGCAACGCCGTAATAATACAAGACAGCCAGTTAGTACTGAACTCACAGAGAGGTGCAGTATGGAGATACTCTTCATTGGTTATTCAGTTTGTTTTATCCTTAAAGGAATATTTATTTTATTCATTTATAAGTAATAAATGTTTTTTTTTAATTTATTAGCATTAATTTTGCCTCTTAGGACGACTGTTAACAACTGCTCTCTTGGAAAACAATTTACAGTTCTAAAGAATCATCCTATATATAAGTGTAGCTTGTTTACAGTAGGTGGTGTAATAGGCGTATAAAAGATCAATTAGTGTATTGTGTTAGTTTAATATATCTTTTACAAATGACTATTCATCTCTTTGAGGGATTACAATCTTCAAACAATGTTTGATTCCCCCGTTTCAAGGCTTTACTTTATTATATGCTCTGTAATTACCCTCCTAGAATATCAGAGCAGATTAACACAATACGCTGACAGAAAAGCCGGTACATTCCCTGGATGGTTCACGTGAAATCATATGGTATTAAAGGTTATGGCTTATATGTACCGTAACGTTTAGGTCATGGTATTTTGGGTTACACTCCAGGTGAGTTTTGAGGTCCATAAATTAAAGATGGTCGACGAGGTGAAAACCTTAAACAGCTGCGCAACTAAGTGTCACTTATCTGACTTTAGCAATATTTTTGAGATAAGGCAACAGGCATATTTACTCCGGACTGTGTGTGCCTCTGAGTCCTGATACAAATCTGAGAATGGATTGGTTGTTAAATTAATTCCTTTATCTGCCTCAGAGCAAAACGTTTGAGCAATAACCTCAGAACAAAGAGTAAGAATTTGGCAGCTGGAGGGCTTTGAGCATATCAATAGACGGATCTATCAACGATGAGTCCTTGAAAACAGAAAAGAGAGAGAAGTCTTCATCGCCATGCATTTGAAACACACTTGTCATGTTCCGGATTAAAACATTTGTGGGGCCATTTGATTAACCTGAGGAGAACCTTATGTCAGTTCATGGATGTCAGTGATCTCCAGAGCTTGAGTCATCTGTTGCCACCACAGAGGCCGTCACCTGCCTTGAGCCCATGCGGGGGTCATGGGAATATGCGCCTGAGGCCATTTACAGGGAGCCAACTGGTTGGCATTGGGATGCTTTTTGCAGTTTAACCTTTGACTGCTGGATTAATGGCTGCATGGAAATAAGTCAACTTCATGTCTGAGAAATGTAACCCAAGAAAGCTCAGATAGTCCAGCGGCAACTGGACGTAGACATGTTCATACCAATAGCACTTGCAGTTGCGTGGGCCGTACTTTGTATGCAAAGACTAAGCTGTAATGTTTGCATAACAACCGCCACAGCGCATGTGCACGCATGTACATGGTGTAGACTACATAAGGAAGAATGGTGCAGAGTTTACTGGAACAATGACGGCCATAATTTGAAAAAAACGAAGCTGACTTACCTTATCTGAGTACACAAAGAACAGGATGAGCAATATCAGCTCTGCCAGGAGAATTATCAGCAGGACAATGAAGAACTGTCAGAGAGAGAGAGAGAGCCTTGTTTTAACAATTGCTTTGGCAGTATTGTTATTCCACCTTGTCATGTCACGGAAAATTATGTTAAAAATGAAGAGGCATATTGCAGTAATTTGTGTCAATGAGTGCCACAGGAAAACACATTCCAAGAATATAAATGACATACTGGTTCACAACATTCATTTTTCAACTTTGATTTGCAGTGCTTTTGATTCACAGTCTTCCTTAAAAGGCATTGTGTGGGTTTTAGATTTCTTCCGTAGCTTTACATAGAAACATGCAGTCAATTCAGATTAAATGAATTGTTTACATTATGTGAAATAATCTTATTTAGAGAGTTATGCTGGAAAACATTTGTACGCTAAATAAATATAAAACTCCAGTCAACATCGGTTAGCTTAGCTTAGCATTAAGACTAAGGACACAGGGAAACAGCCTGCCTGACTGTGTGGAAACACGGTATTTGTAAAAAGAGCATCCAGTTCTCTGCTGGTTGCCTGGCAGCCTTTCTAACCGTGACAACAGGACTGCATGACATACTTTGTGCAACCAAGAAGTAGTCAAACACTCAAACAAATAAGAAACGACATGTTAATCAGTGAGCTTTAGATTCGCCGGTATACACATTTTGTTATGTTTGCACAAAGCTTCCATTTCCTGCGTTTGTGCTAAGCTAAACTAAATAACTGCATACTTAGCATGCAGAAAGAAGAGTGGGATCAAAGCTCCACATTGCCCTCGGCCATTAATAAAATAAGTGTATTTTGACATATGTTACCTCCCTAGATTAACAGAGCCTTCCATCTCATCCCACCGTTCTCTTCAGCTCAATATTTACCCAGTTATTTTGCACAACATGGGAGGAGGCAGGCAGACCAAGATTCTAGAAACCCCCACTTATGCTATGCTCATTTGGGAGGACGGAGGTAGGCTAATATTTGTGCCAAGGCCCAGATGAAATGGTACTGATTGGCTGTCGGTTAACTATCTGGGTTGACAGTGTCACTGTTGTGTTTCACAGTTGGTTTGTCACAATTTCCTGGAGCCAGAAGTTAAAAGGACAGCTTCTGTACACCGCATTGGTGGTGCTCTGATGATTGTGTGTCTATATGTGTTCACATAGAGACAAACACAGGGTTTTTAAAAGACTTTCTGCCACTTATCTGTTGTTATCTCTCCCAATTTCTGTATTTACTTCCAAATTTGTCTGAGTAAACATTTTTTTAGAAAGAGAGAATGAAAATGAACTGTAAAGGATGTCTGGGATGTTGGGAATTCAGCTAATCCAGAGAGAGTTGTCTGCACAGAAACTTCAGAGATAATATGTCAAGGTAGATGCTCAGATCTGTTTGCTGCGGCAGATCTGAACCAACACTGATGTCTCTGTTATTGTTGGAATGCATTAAGCATTCCAAGTATTGTTCTTCGAATCTTTATTGTTGGAATGCATTAAGGATGCATTAAGGATGCATTCCAAGTATTGTTCTTCTAATCTTTTTTCAACTTATTGTTGGAATGCATTATGCATTCCAAGTATTGTTCTTCGAATCTTTATTCTTCAGCTTCTTCTTCTATTTATTCCGCGCCCCCTTTCAACTCCTCCACATTTTCAGCTATTTAAACCGTTCAAATTTTAAAATATTCAGCTCCTCTTCTGGCTTTAGGGCTATGACTTTTGAGCTTTCTACCTCTTAAGCTTAAATTTATATAAATCAATAATCATTAATATTTTAACATGGTTTTCAAATGGAGTTTGTTTTCAAATCCTCCTTAAACTTCTTAAACTTTCAGATATTTCAGCTCCGCCAATCTTTCAGCTACAGACACTATTTGAACTTTCAAATGTTGACACAGGTCTCAACTATTTTATGAAAAAAAACTGCTTGTGGATATCTATTGTACTTTTTTCATAATCACTGATTATGTTTCACTAGTTCTTCGCTCCGTTTCTGACTTTTACATGAGTGTGTATTGCGTCTGCTAGAGTGGGGACCTCGAGGGCTAGAGTGTGAGGCAGCACCAGAATCTGGTTAAAAAAAGATGGAACTTCTGTCCTTGCAGCCAAAGTATACACTCTAGAGGCTTAATTTCTTCAGATTAATGAGGGCATGGTTGTGCTGATTGGATTAATGCGTTCATGGAATCCCAGAGTTCTTTAGTTTTGGCCTACGGAGACCAACAGTCACACAACCGCTGCTAAGAGCCCCATAGGCTCCAATACAAATCTGCCGACATATTTCTCAAAAAATCCAGAAGGTACACGTTTTGTCAACGGCCATTGGAGCTGTATTTATTACCGCACAGACATAAAACACACATCCATGCGTTCGGTAGAGTCTTGGGTCTCGTCAAAACGCCATATTTTTTAGATAGCTGTTATAGTTTTGCGCTGAATGTCATTTGTTTGAGGTGTGGATTCTGTGTAACTCGCTGTCCTGTGTCTGCCCTTTTGCAGCCGCACAGGTGCGTCGTTGTCGTGGTTACTCGCTCACACACTGCAAGATCTGTTTGTGACTCACAGCTGCTCCTATGACCTGATTAGTGGAGTCACATGACGCAGCTATGCTTTCTGTCAACAGACCAATATGATAAAGACACTCGCCCCCCTCCCCCCTCCACCCTGACCTCTTCTCACTGTTAATCACTCACTCAGTCAGTCTGTCTATTTCTCCTCCTCTCTCTCTCTCCCTCTATCTCTTCCTCACCACCCCTCCCTTCCTCACCCTCTCACCCTCCCTCCCTCTATCTACACCCTCCCACCCCACCCAATCCAATAATTTCAAAATAAAAGCCCCATGGAGTGAATTTTTACTGTAATGTTTGTGATGAGGCCTATTAATTAAAAACGTCTTAGTTTGAATAACAAACATTGTGTCTCCCACTACGAATATTACTCGTACTTCTAGTACTACAACTGATACTTCTACTACCATACTACTAGTATTTCTACTGCTATTAATACTACAACTACTACTAATGTTATTACAAATACTACTATGGCTAATAGTGTTAGTATTACAGCTGTTTCTACTGCTATTGATACTAAACCAACTTCTACTGCTAGTACTACTAATACCACAATTACAACTATAACTACTACTACTACTAATATTACTACAAACTATTTTAAACCTCTTTTTATTCATCTCAGCTTTTGTTATTTCTGTACATTTTTAAATTAATTTAAGCTCCTGCAACTTCTGCTTTGTTTTGCAATATTTCACATTTATTTCAGCTGTTTTCATTTCTGCTTTTTCAGCAAATCTATTGAAATTCCTTTCAGCTTCTCCCATTTCTGTATTTTCAGCAATTTCAAATTCATTTCAGCTTTTCTAATATCTGTAATTTCAGCAAATGTATTCAAATTCCCTTCAACTTTCTGTATTTGGTACTACTATTACTGCTTCTACTGCTAGTACTACCAATACCACAATTACAACTATAACTACTACTACTAATATTACTACAAACAATTTTAAACCTCTTTTTATTCATCTCAGCTTTTGTTATTTCTGTACTTTTTAAAATTCAATTAAGCTCCTGCAACTTCTGTATTTTTTAGAAAATCTGATGGAATTCATCTTCCCCACTTCCTGTATTTTCAGCAGTTCTTTAAAATAATTTCAGCTTTTTTTATGCCTCTATTAACAGCAATGTTTTAATATTAATTTCTGTATTCTTTTTTTGCAACATTTCACATTTATTTCAGCTGTTTTCATTTCTGCTGTTTCAGCAAATCTATTGAAATTCCTTTCAGCTTCTCCCATTTCTGTATTTTCAGCAATTTCAAATTCATTTCAGCTTTTCTAATATCTGTAATTTCAGATGTATTCAAATTCCCTTCAACTTTCTGTATTTTCAGCTATTTTTAAATATTCAGTGCAGCTTTCAGCTTTTTGCATTCCAACGCATTTTCAGCAGGAAATGCCTTTTCTAGTTATTCTATTTCTTCCGCGCGACCTTTCAACTCCTTCACATTTTCAGCTATTTAAACCGTTCAAATATTAAAATGTTCAGCTCCTTTCTGGCTTTGGGGCTATGACTTTTCAGCTTTCTACCACTTATGCTTGAATTTATATAAATCAATAATCATTAATATTTTAACATGGTTTTCCAATGGAAATTGTTTTCAAATCCTCCTTAAACTTCTTCAACTTTCAGACTTTTCAGCTCCGCCAATCTTTCAGCTACAGACACCATTTAAACTTTCAAATGTTGACACAAGTCTCAACTATTTTATGAAAAAAACTTCTGCTTCTTGATATCTATTGTACTTTTTTCATAATCACTGATTATGTTTCACTAGTTCTTCGCTCCGTTTCTGACTTTTGCATGAGTGTGTATTGCGTCTGCTAGAGTGGGGACCTCGAGGGCTAGAGTGTGAGGCAGCACCAGAATCTGGTTAAAAAAAGATGGAACTTCTGTCCTTGCAGCCAAAGTATACACTCTAGAGGCTTAATTTCTTCAGATTAATGAGGGCATGGTTGTCCTGATTGGATTATTGTGTTCATGGAATCCCAGAGTTCTTTAGTTTTTTCTGAAGGAGTGTTAGAGTGACACAACCTCTGCCAAAAGCCCCATAGGCTCCAATACAAATCTGCCGACATATTTCTCAAAAAATCCAGAAGGTACACGTTTTGTAAACTTCGTCAGGAGCCGTATTTTTTACCGGACAGACATAAATAACACCTCCCTGCGTTCGGTAGAGTCTTGGGTCTCGTAAAAACGCCGTATTTTTTAGATAGCTGTTATAGTTTTGCACTGAATGTCATTTGTTTGAGGTGTGGATTCTGTGTAACTCGCTGTCCTGTCTCTGCCTTTTGCAGCAGCTCGTTAATGAGCACAGGTGCGTCGTTGCCGTGGTTACTCGCTCACACACTGCAAGATCTGTCTGTGACTCACAGCTGCTCCTATGACCTGATTAGTGGAGTCACATGACGCAGCTATGCTTTCTATCAACAGACCATTATGTTAAAGACACTCGCCCCCCCTCCCCCCTCCACCCTGACCTCTTCTCACTGTTAATCACTCAGTCAGTCAGTCAGTCTGTCTGGGAATTTCTACTGTAATGTTTGTGATGAGGCCTATTAATTAAAAACTTCTTAGTTTGAATAACAAACATTCTGTCTCCCAACCTCCCCTCACCCAATTCCATCATTACAAAATAAAAGCCTCAATGATTATCTGTACCTTAACCATGAAGTGGTTTCGTTGAAATACGTATTGCTCTTTCAATTACTACTACAACCACTACGAATATTACTAGTACTTCTAGTACTACAACTGATACTTCTACTACCATACTACTAGTATTTCTACTGCTATTAATACTACAACTACTAATAATGTTATTACACATACTACTATGGCTAATAGTATCAGTATTCCAGCTGTTTCTACTGCTATCGATACTAAACCGACTTCTACAGCTAGTACTACTAATACCACAATTACAACTATAACTAATACTACTACTAATATTACTACAAACAATTTGAAACCTATTTTTATTCATCTCAGCTTTTGTTATTTCTGTACTTTTTAAATTCATTTAAGCTCCTGCAACTTCTGTTTTTTTTGCAATATTTCATATAAATAATATTATATTTATTTCAGCTGTTTTCATTTCTTCTTTTTCAGCAAATCTATTGAAATTCCTTTCAGCTTCTCGCATTTTTGTATTTTCAGCAATTTCAAATTAATTTCAGCTTTTCTAATATCTGTAATTTCAGCAAATGTATTCAAATTCCCTTCAACTTTCTGTATTTTCAGCTATTTTAAAAAGTTCATTTCAGCTTTCAGCTTTTTGCATTCCAAAGCATTTTCAGCAGGAAATGCATTTTATAGTTATTCTTCTATTTCCTACTGTTCATATTGCATAACTATTTCTTACTGTACATCTATTTATTCACTTATTACACTTTGCATATGCACATACTCTGCACTTTTTGCTATTTTGCACTTCTGGTTGGATGTTAAACTGCATTTCGTTGCCTCAGTACTTGTACCCTGTGCAATGACAATAAAGTTGAATCTAATCTAATCTAATCTCAGCGTCCTGCTCTCATCCCTTACACCCTCCCCCCACACACAAACCTCCCGGACGTGCTGATCCGGACAGTCTCGCCAGGACAAAAACAACAACTACTAGCAGAGAGAGCTCCGGAATATCACAGGCTATATATGACACGCTACCGCACCAGGTTGACTTAATGAAAGATCAGAAGCTCTAGATTTCTGAGTCTCTCTTCTTTCCCTAATTTGAAAATGTGCCCCTCTTGTCCCAAGGGTTCCAGGAAAGTTCTCGCTTTTTTTAATATTGCGCACAAACACCATGGCATTGGGTGAACTTCTGTAATTTTACGCAAGATAAAACCATGCGTAACTTTTGGCAAAAAGACTCCGAGACAAGAGTCTTTGAAATGAATAAGAAATCATTCTCAATTATTTAGCACAAAAATAGTGCTTTTAGAACGCGTACAGTAATTCAACCACGCTGGGAACACAGAAGGCCTTTTGATTGACAGCTATTTTTCTGTTACGTGAACACAGCCATGGAGATGTCATGAATGCGTTGATGCCTTAATTTCCTGAAAGGGAGAATTCAGTTCTAATTTTCCTTTGAGAGCCATATAATAACATCAAATAACCTCTTGCAGTGAGTCCGCCGTACCTCAGCTACATGACACTTAATGCAATGTGAGTAGTGGGCGGAGTTAGTCAACCGAAAAAGGAATAAATACAGTGGTATAACTTTAAACAGTGTCGTACTGTAAAAAAATATTTTCTTCCAAGATGTCAACCGTTGCAATATTTTACAGTATTCATCTGTATTGACAAATAACAGTATATTACTGTTGAGAATTCCTCGTTATTTTACAGTAATTTGTTTTTAAGTGCTGGTTCCTGCTGGCCTGTGACAAGCATGTGTGGTCGTGGGTATTCGGGAGGTTGTCCCTACAAGAGGTCTCCGCTAATATTTGCATGGCTGACATGGGGGGAAATGAGAGACTGTTCAAAGGGGGACAAGACGTGGGAGAGCGGAGCTGCAGTGTGTGAATCCTTAGACAGTCGTCTCCTTTCTAATAGGGCACTGCGTAGGTTCTGCATGCGGATTGAACTCACGCTCAGAAGCAGGCACTTCTTCTCCTTGATGGCCCCGAGGCAACCTAGGAAGCCTGTTACCATGACGATAGCGCCGATGGTGATGACCATGTTGGCGGCCGACAGCGAGGGGAACGAGGGTGAGAAGGTGGCGAAACTGCCCTGCGACACAGAAAGCCAGATGCCCACGCCGAGCAGCCCGCAGCCGCATAACTGCAAGGAAAGAGCACAAGGTCAGCAAACCAACAGCAGGTGAGTCGGGGTTAGTTACAGCAATTATTTACAAAGAAAAGTTCATTTTCACTTCTCCTCTGGCAGGATTCGCTTATGACATAAAGACAGGCAGGTATTCATTCTGAACACTACTGCAATGTTTGAGCTTCTAGGGCTAACATTTCTCTAACAGCACCATTGCAGAACCATTGCAAAATATGCAGACCTTTGTGTCGCTGCTACAGGAAAAACCTCCAGAGTAAGCTGTGATTACTTATCTGACCTCGGCGCGTGTCTGTCCGGTAATAAATACGGCTCCTGTCGCAGTTTACAAAACGTGTACCTTCTGGATTTTTTGAGAAATATGTCAACAGATATGTATTGGAGCCTATGGGGCTTTTGGCAGAGGTTGTGTCACTCTAACACTCAGGAATCCAAAACTAAAGAAGTCTGGGATTCCATGAACACATTAATCCAATCAGCACAACCATGCCATTATTAATCCAAATAAATGAAGCCTCAAAAGTGTATACTTTGGCTGCAAGGACAGAAGTTCCATATTTTTTTAACCAGATTGTGACGCTGCCCCACACTCTAGCCCTCGACGTCTCATTCTAAGAAACCCAATACACACTCATGTAAAACTCAGAAACGGAGCGAAGAACTAGTGAAACATAATCAGTGATTATGAAAAAAGTAGAATATATATCAACAAGCAGTTTTTTTATAAAACAGTTGAGACTTGCATCAACATTTGAAAGTTTAAATGGTGTCTGTAGCTGAAAGATTGGCGAAGCTGAAAAATCTGAAAGTTGAAGAAGTTTAAGAGGATTTGAACACGATCTCCATTGGAAAACCATTAGAAGAAATATTTATGATTACTGAGTGAAACATAATCAGTGATTATGAAAAAAGTAGAATATATATCAACAAGCAGTTTTTTTATAAAACAGTTGAGACTTGCATCAACATTTGAAAGTTTAAATGGTGTCTGTAGCTGAAAGATTGGCGAAGCTGAAAAATCTGAAAGTTGAAGAAGTTTAAGAGGATTTGAACACGATCTCCATTGGAAAACCATTAGAAGAAATATTTATGATTACTGATTAAAGCTTAAGAGGTAGAAAGCTGAAAAGTCATAGCTGGAAAGCTAGAAAGGAGTTTTAATAGCTGAAAGTGTGAAGGAGTTGAAAGATGCGACGGAAGAAATAGAAGAAGGCGGAATAAATATTCGAAGAACAATACTTGGAATGCTTAATGCATTCCAACAATTACCATATTTTCTGTGGACAAAGAAAACTAAATAAAGTGAATGCCATTTTTGCTGACGGGAAAGTCAATACGGGTTATGCAACAACTTTTCACTATAATCTAAAAATGTCCTAAAGTTACCTTGCCACTGATAATATATCTTAGATAACTCATTGGTGGGGCCCCAGCATGATGCTACACGCCAATTTAAAAAGACTGTGGAGCTCACACAGTATTACTCTGCTTTCCCGAGTCGTGCATGCGACTCGCAGGAGCGGCTGAGGCGGACCCGTGACGGCTTGAACTACTATTTCAATTTTAACAAGCTTCAGGTCTTTTAGCTCATAACATTGGCATATATGTATTTCTGGGTTGGTTGCACTGTTGGAGCAACTTGACTGCTTTGTGTTGGATCCATATAGTGTATTTTTCAATTTGGAGATGTTGGAGGCTGATAGGAACATATGAACATATGTGTCTTTCAACTGTTATAATTACACAGTTTATTTGCTAAATTGAATTTATGAAAAAAAAAAGTTAACTTGACGGGGAGGGATCCTGGGCATCTGTTTAATTTTTCCTGTTCCCTTTTCATACGTGTTGGGCAACACCTGGAGAGCACCTCCATGGCCTGGCAAATTGGGAGTTTCGTTTCTAAATTCCATTTTTGAAAGAAGTGACAAAGAAAGGAGCGAGCAACATTTACTTTCCAGAAAAGGAAATTGGAGGACAACGAGGTGGGAATCTATACAACTGGATGAATCGAGTCCTGCTGTTTGTGGCCTTTTAACAAGCTCCAGGGTGGAAATAAGCACAATAATAGGGTGTGTATCAACTGTGAGGCAACGTCTCGAACAGGAAAGAAAGGCGAAGGGGGTCAAAATATAGCCGGCATTTAAGCCAGGCAGATTGGATGTGTGTGGAAGACAGAGAGATTTGAGTTCAGAGGCAGAGAAGAAGAATGTAGAGGGCGAGCCTTCGTCCAAATGACTGGTTCAGTCACTGCACCGACTGGTTCAGTGACACGAAGCCACTCGATGCAGGACCCCACTTCAGCGTGAGAGCGGAGGGTGAACGATGCCGACTCGTTATCACTGAGCTCTCTCAGAGAGGTCACAGTGGTGTCATCGAGAATGACGGCTTTCGTCAAATTACCGCCGTCCTCGGTGGCTCAACTCTCCTTGTGAGGGAGTTTGTAAGGTTTGGTTGCGTGAGTGATACGTGTGTGTTGGCGCCTCTTTAGTTCATGAAATGCTTTAAAGCTGAGAGTAAATAAACAAAAGACAGTGTCTTTTAAAACAGACATAATTAGTCTCCACAGACATCTGTAGTGCCAAACTAAAATCTAACTTTTGTTTAAGTAATTAGAAATCGCTACCACAACAGCACAATAAACTGTAAAATCGGGGGGAAACGCCAACTTTACTGCTGTAGAATGGAGCCACTTTAGCACTTAACGATCCCCTATGACCTTTACTGCAACTCCATCTTTATTCTTTATCATCGGGAAACTTTTCTCTCTTGTAGCACAGAACATCTTCTGCTTTGGCATTGATTTTACACTGAAATGAAGATGAAGATTTATTTATCTACATGTGATCTCGACAGCATGTGATTCATGTAACTATGAAATAGCCTGTAACTATGAAATAGCCTGCCAACTCAAAGAACAACAGAATAGACAGTGAACAGAGAAAAAAAGCCTGAAAGTAAACACAGGCTATTTTCTACACAGCGAGTGGAAACGGTCTTCTTGGCAGGCAATAAAGGAAAATGGGTCATTTTGAGAATAGACTCTCAAGGGAGGGTTTGTGTACCTGTCAGAAAAAGATTTCCTCCAAATAAATAAGTACTTATCCTCCATGGGGGTCCCATTAGAGCAAACTAAACAAAAGCCTATATGCAAAAGGAGCAAAATATTATCTGCAACATTAAAGAATTTCTCTTTGACTCTTGTTCTGCTTCAAAAGTCTACAGAATCATTGTGGGTTCTAGTTCCTTTATTTTTAATGGACAATAGTTTGTTCAACACAAGTCATTTCACTTCCCTTTCTTCTCATCTGTTAAATTCAAGTGAATAATGATGTAAAAATATACACAGTGGGAAGAACAAGTATTTGATACACTGCCGATTTTGTAGGTTTTCCCACTTAAACAGCATGTAGGAGTCTAATTTCTGCAATCATTTAAAAAAAAATCATATTATGTGATCGTCTGGATTTGTGTTTTAGATTCAATCACTCACATTTGAAGAGTACTTATGATACAAATTACAGACGCCTACATTCTTGTAAGTGTAAGTGAGAAAATCGGCAAAATCAAACACTTGATACACTAAATATTCAAATACTGGGCAATTGGATGGACACAGAATTGAATAATGCTGCAGTTGGGATTTAAGTTTCTACGGACATATTATTGTTCAAGGTAAAGGTAAAGGTTTCAAAGTAAAACCCATTCCCGCCTATCCATAAGATGTTTCACTCAAGAAACAATTAATTATTGACAATTCAGAAGTGAAACTTCTTAAAAAAATAAAACTAACAACAGCTCATGAGTGGATGTTATACATTTCTCAGTGTAGCACAGTCAAATTATGTTTCCCTTTATCTCTTAAATAGAATGATACTAGACAAGTTAAGCTGTAGGCAAGGACCCCCCCACACAGTCTCCCTAGACTTCCTGAAGGCATCGCAGTCATTCCCCATCGAATAGTGTATAGCTGAGGTCAGTTATATAACAAGTACATTATTCAAAAGGTCTGTGATGTTGGCTGAGGGAAACAGTGCTTTCAGGCCCAGAATAAACACTTTAAATTCAAAAGGCTGACGCAGGGCATAAGATGAAAACGGTATATCTGCCTGGTTAAGGTGGAATTCACCCAGTGAAGTCCTGGTGGACTGAAAACTCTCTTTCTATGAACACGTACACTTTAATTTAGAGACAATTGAGCTTTTATGGGGTCAATTACACGCGTATCTCAACCAGGCATTAACCAAGCAAAGATGACTTGAGTAGAATTCTATAAGAAAATACTTTCCCCTTGATTAATAACCTCAGTATATGGTCTTAGTCACTAGTTTCTAGTTACAGTTGTCTGCATTTTTGTCTCACAGCTTTAACCCTTTATCCCTGTGTGTTTTCAGTTTTCAAACTTCGTAATAGTAGCGATTGCTTCAAAACCAAAAGCCCAACACCTCGATGGCTGACATTGTTGTGACCACATACACCTAAATAAAAAAAATAAGGGAACGTGTGATACGTTTCCATACAAGAAGAACCCATCACAAGCGCTAGTCCACTGTCGGGCCTGGAGCGATTCTGTGGTGGAGGCTAAACTGGGCAGCATGGAGAGATTTAGGGACAGGTACACTATGATGCACACATCAATGAAGCAGGGTTTGACATGTCTCCAACTCTCTCTGACTCCCATGAAGAGCTGAAAGGCCGATTCGCCGCAGAGCGACTGAATCAATCGCGCCAGGAAGGATTAAAGACAGACAATCCTTTTTCTGCCTGTCCCTTGCCATCCCTGCCGCCCGCGCTGACACATGCACAAGCTTTCACACCTGACAACGGCCGTTATCTACCCTCAGAGGACAAGACAAAAAGGAGAGAGAGAGAGAGAGAGAGAGAGAGAGAGAGAGAGAGAGAGAGAGAAAGCCGGGACAATGGCAGATGAAACGCTATTAGACACCCCTGACTAATTCCACTGTTAAATCTGTACCATTCCAACAAGACTCTTCAATCAG